AGAACTGCGGCCTCCCTCCCGGGCGGCTGGAGGGGTTACAGGATTCTGAGAGCCGCCCCGCCCAGGGCCTGGTTGACTCCCAAGCTCTCCAGGGCGGAACTCAAGCAGGGCCGGGTTGGGGGTTTGCCTTGTGGCCAGCAGGAGCCACAGAAGGTGCTGTGGGGGGAGCAGCACCCGCCGGGCTGGCCTTCCTGGGGGAGGGCGGCCACAGGTCCCGGCCGAATCCTGCTGTGTTCTTTCTCTTGCCTGGACTCCCTTGAAGCCCTATGGGTTGGGGCACATCCGATGGCTCAGAGAGGTCACTGGGGTTCACCTGGCACCTGAGCACCGCCACACAGTGGGGCGGGCCACAGCCAGGGCTCAAACACGGGTGCAATCCCCACTTCAGAACCCGGGACTGCCCGAGTTGAGGGACGGCCCCAGCGTCGCCCCTGTCGGCCCCCCCCCCCCCCCCCCCAGCCCCAACCCACCGGTTTCCACCAGCTGCTGCGGCTGCTCTCTTCCCGGTGTTGTTTGGGTTTTAATTTTTGTGTTGCATTTAGAAAATTACCCGTAATTACAGCTTCGGAGAGGAAACGGCCTCGGAGCGCAGCCCCGGCTCCCCAGCTGTGGCCCGCCGCCCACGCACAGCTGGGGAGGGGCTGCAGGGGCCCCAGGCGCAGCTCCCGGCCCCCCACAAGACCCCGCTTGAATGGCAAGGATGTGGGAGGCCGCTGCCTCCTCCTATGGAGAGGAATAAATCCATCAGGAAAACCAAGGCCGCCTTCTCCCCAGGACTGTGGCAGCCGGGCCTCTCAAAGAATATTCATGGGTCCCCACCTCGGTCCTGGTGGGTGTGGGGGTCCCGGAGCGAGGGGCAGCACCGGCTGTCAAAAGATTACATGATGCATGATTTTTGTAACAGTGACAAGTCCAACCAAGGCCAGTGTGGAAACAGTGATGCGGGGGAGGTGGCCCGGGAAGGCCTGGAGGAGGAAGGGGAGGGGGAAGGGCTGCGCAGGAGGAAGAACGGGGAGGAGTCGTTGTCCTCCCGGTGGTGACGAGGAGGAACTGTTGGTTGAAGGAGGAGCCAGAGGAGGCCAGGACAGGCAGGGGTCGGAGGAAACTCTCCAGGTGGAAGAAAGATAAGACTGTGGAAGATGTATGGAAGGGTGGCGGGGTGGAGGGGAGAGGAGGTGCCCCCTCTGCGCAGACTCCCTGCTCCGTAAGCAGAGCTGCCTTCGGACTCCCCCAGGCACCACCCTGGAGGACCAGACAGTGGCGACTCACCACCTACCCCTCCAAACCGACTCAGCTGCAGTCCCCGAGCAGCCACACGGGGGCGACATGGAGCCCACATAGAGGTGGCAAGGCTGGGATGCAGTCTTGACCCTGAGCAATCTTGGACTCTAAGTCAATTACCAGATCTGCCCTGACCAGGACGCTTGCCCAGCTGGGCACCTTTCCCGGTGCAACTTTCCTGTCATATCATTTTAACTCTGTAGAAGTGGGGAGATCCCTTTCCTCATGCATAGGGTCTTGGCCACTATTCTTGTAACCAAAGACAGGTTCACAAGAGAAAAGCATATTGAATGTGTTGAAAATGTATTGAAATAAAAGTTTTCCGTGAGCTGGGAGACTTTGGAAATGAAGACCAAAGGCCCAGCAAAACTATTTGTATTCCTGCCTCCCCTGTAGAAACGTGATTGGACAAAATGGCAAGCTACAGAGGGGTGAACCCCAGCAAGACCTCTGTTCACATTCTTCTCGGTCTCTGTATGGGCAGGACGCTTCTAGAAAGAGGGTCTTCTAGTTAGAGGGAGAAGAGTGATCTAAGCCCCTCCCCTGCATGCTGGAGTTGAAACCAGAGCCTGAAGCAGCCAGGCAGGCACTGTACCACCCAGCCACACCTCTAGCTCGATCTTTTGGCTTAATGGCTTGCTTTAGAGGAGCAGGGTTCTAGTTCTATCACGTGCTTTGGGAAAGAGGAATTCTGCTTTCTATGACACTTGTCCAGAGAGAAAGAGGGAGATTGGGCAAAAGGTCTGAGAATTTGCTTCTGAGGCCTTCCAATCTCCTTTAGTACAAAGAACTCAGCATTCCAGATATGCTTTGGGGCATCTCTTCTGAGCTCCAACACCAGTTCCCCACATGGCCATTCCTAGCAGATCCACACTTTCTTATGGCTACCTATTGTTCTTGGAATAACTCTCAACTCCTCCCAGAAAGTGGTGGTCTTGTTCCGCTGCCGTCCCTGCCAGCACCTCCCTCCCTCAGCTCCAGGTTCACCTGTCTCCTCCCTCTGCCTCCAATACTTTGTGTGCCAGCCTCAGGATCTTTGCACCTGCTTCAAAGGCAATCTGAAACTTCTTCCAGATCTTTGAGATCCACGCCTCCGCTTTACCCTTCCCCCATTCTCCTCGCTTGCATGGGCGGGGACCCCTTTCTGTGCAGTCTCCTTTGGCGTAGAGCGCGCGGCTGTTTCCCCGTCGTTGCTGGAGCCCAGGGCGCGTTCACCTTGCACTTTGCCGCAGGCGCCCAGGCTGTGTTTGGGAGATCCTTCCCCGGTTGCTATGGGAACCGCGCTAGTTGCCCCCGCCCGCAAGTAACTCCCCCAGCGCAGCTCTCGGAACCGCGGGCGCCTCCGCCTCCTTCCCTCCGCCTCCGCCCTCCTCTGGGAGCCCTGCCGACCTCGCTGTCGCCTGTCCTCCCTCCCTCTCTCTGCCCAGCACGTGGCACTGCCTGAAATTATCCGACTGACTCGCCAGCTTTTGACTATCCGCCTCCCCCATCAGATTCTTCGCCCCTTGAGTGGTAGCAACGTGTCCCGGCTGGGTCCCCAGAGTCTGGCACACTGTGGACGTTCAAAAAATGGTTGTAGGGTAGACGAAGACTCACGTCGAGCCAAGAAACTGTGGCTCACAGAGGGCTAGAGACCCGTCCAGGGGGTACAGGATCCTGGAGAGTCAGGGAGCCACGGGTGATAAATGGGGGTAGGAGGACCGTCTGCCTGGCCCCAGACGTCACCAACGTGCTGTGATGGGTTAGCCACACCATCTCCGTGCCTCGTTGGGAGTAGTGGAAGGAGCGCTAATTATGATGGGGTGTCCTTGACACCTAAGCCCCCCATGGCCCTCCGTCTGCCTCGGGCTCCGCGGAGTGCTGCTGGCGGCTCCTCTGCTGACCGTCGGCCGGAGAGGCCCGCGGGAGAGGAAGCTGGGGGAGGGGGCGGCGGGCTGGACAGGAAATGGGAAGGACTGGCGTCCCTCCCCCCCAAGCCTGGGCCCCACGGGGAGGAGGCGGGGCTGGGGCCGGCCCTGCCCTTCCCTTCCTCTAGGTCTGTCTGGAACCCCGGCGGCTCCCGACTTCCCGCCTGCCAGACGGCCTCGGGTGGGGGTGGGGGTGGGGGTGGGGTATCGTCCAGTGCTAGGAGGTCGGCCTCTATGGAGGGTCGGATGGTGGTGGGTGACATCCAGGCGCGTTCTCTCTCTCGCGCGCACACACACGACACAGGAAACGTGAGCGCACAGCTCACACAATGCAGGTCCCAGGGAGCTGGCGATCCACCCACGCGCGGAGACACACATCCGCACATTCGCACACACTTGTGCACACAACCTGAGACTGGGCGATTTGGCCCCCCCAAAACTGCCTCGGACACAAACGCAACCGAGTCAGGGACAGCTGCGTGGATAGCTACCATTCACCCCTAGGCACCACGATACGCAGGTGAACTCACAGGAAACTCGGTTTACACACACCGTGGGCGTGCACAGGGAAAAAAGCATTCACGTGTCAGATATTCACGTGTCAAACATTCAGACGCTGAAACCCCAACTTTCCACGTACCCCTGCTACCCACACACACCCACTCGACCCGTTGGCTCACAGACCACCACTCATAACCAGGACCCCCAACCTGGGGGCATGCCCTGCCTTCCCACCTCCTACGCACATGCCCTGGGTCCAGGAGGGGGAATGGTGCACCCACTGTCTGTACCCCTCACTCCAGCAAGAGAGCAATTACAGGTGGAGTGCCCCCATTTACAGCTGGCAACACTGAGGCTGAGAAGCAGAGCCAGCGAACGGTCCCCCAGCACCTCTGTTGACACCGGTGGTGCTGTGAGGCGGTGCAGGGTGGCTCACAGCGTGTGCGCTAGGAACCTCAAAAATTTATGTCTGTATGGAGCTAGGTCGCGTGTGGCTCAGTACGACCCCAGGGCTGCGATGTCATGCCTTGGGGTGATTGTGAGTAGCTGCCCGGGCCCTTTCCACGGCTGTCGGAAGCTGCAATTTAGCTTTGCGTGTCTCTGTGCAGCTGTGTGCCTGTGTACACGGTGACCTGTGTCTAGTTGTTCTGTTTCGGCCACTATTTAAGCTGTGCATACAGCAGAGTTTCGCTGGGAGAGCTGTGTGGGGTGGCCCCCACCCTTGCTGGGGGAGAGTCTCTGCGGGGGGGATACACGCAGTATGCCTGAAGCTTTATGGTCTGTCAGTTGTTGCAGCAGCTGTGCACTTTTGTCGTGTAGGGTGCTGTGTCTGAGAGTATCGCTGCGACTGTGTGGCTGTGATCCTGGGTGTACAACAATTTGGGTGGCTAGTCCTAGCTGGTGTGTATGTGTTTGTGTGTGTGTGTGTGTGTGTTAGCCGCGCCCCCACCCCCCGCAGCGAGCACTGCGCGTGCGCGCCCGTCCCGCGGTCCCGGCAGCGGGACCCACCCGCGCGCCTGTCATTGCCCCTTTAAGAGCGGAGCCCGCGGGCGGCGGGCGGGGGCGCGCGCGGCAGGAGGAGGGGGCGCGCGCTTCCCGGAACAGCCCGCGCTGAGGGAAGAGAGGAAAAAAATAAAACCCGCGGCTGGAGCCGAAGCTGGAGTCACCGCTGCCGCCGCCGCGGCCGTCTGGAGCTCCCCCGCGCGGACGATGCCCGCGGTGCCCGCCCGGGGCTCGGGGCGGTGAGGCCCGGGGCGCGGGGTAGCTATGGCGACGGCGAGCGCGGCCCCCGGTGCCGCCTGACAGGTGTGGGCCCCGGCGGCGGCAGCGGCGCGGAGCAGCATGTACGCCAAGGGGGGCAAGGGCTCGGCCGTGCCCTCCGACAGCCAGGCCCGCGAGAAGTGAGTCGGCGGGCCGGGGGCCGGGGGCGGGGCTCGGCGTCCGCGCCGCTCCCGCGGGCTCCGACGCGGACCAGCCCTGCACCGGGCACGTGGGCGCGGGCTGCTACGCGTGCGGGGCCCGGGCGCGCTCGAGGGGTCGCGAGAGACCCGAGGGGCGCGAGATTTGAGGGGGCGCGCGAGACCCGAGGGGCGCGAGATTTGCGCGGGCGCGCAACTTGCGTGGCCGCTCAAGACCCGAGGGGCTTGTGAGATAAGCGGGAGCGCGCGAGACTCGAGGGTCCTGAGGGGCTTCTCAGGGGCGCGGGAGATCCGAAGGGGGCGAGATTTGAGGGGCGTGCGAGACTCTAAGGGATGCCAGAGACCTGCGCGGGTGGAGGGGTCGCGAGATTTGCGGGGGGGCCCGCGAGACCCAAGGGCGCGAGATTTGAAGGGGCGCGCGAGATCCGAGCAGGACTTGAGGGTCGCGAGACCTCTCCGTGGGGCGAGGCTGGAGTACGCCAGGTTGCGCCCTCTGGGGACCGGGGTTTCGTAGCTTCTCGAAGTCCCTCTCGGAAGTTTCCCGGGTGGGTGAGACTGATCTCTCGGAACCCTGGCGCCTTGGGAAAAGCTGGAAAGGAGAGGGGAGTCCTTGAGGGGTGCACAACCACCTGTCCAGCTCTGCTGGGGCAGCTGCGCTGGGCGGGGGCCCAGATGCGCCCCTAGGGGTGGCCACACGGTTCAAGGTTCGGAAGCCTCCTGGAGCCACGGGGCTGAGCCCCTCCCCCAATGCCGCAGAATGCGTTCCCAGGGGCCACCCCTTGGTCTGGGCGGGTTTCTGAGCGATGGCTACCAGGTGCTCTCAGGCTGATAGAATCCTTGGGTGGGGAAGCAGCTGAGTGCCCCTGCAGCTAGGTTGCTGAGCTCGAGATCTGGCACTGCCCCATTCCTGTTCTGTGGCTCTGAGCTAGGGAGTGCCCCCAGCCAGGCTGACTTTCCTTCCCTGAGCAGTGCATTCTTTTTTAAGGGTTTGGGGAGCATTTGAAAGGTACTTGGAGCCATGACAGCAAGGGCACTCAGTCCTCTGCAGCACTGTGAAAGTGTCAAAAGTGAAGGGCCTGCCACAGTGTCGGCAGATTCACAGGATCCTAGAGGTTGGACGTCTAGGGTAGCCTCCATGTGGAGTAGCCCACCTAAGCAGGAGAGGATGCTGGGTCATCAGGCAGGGGTCCCTTGGAAGTCTCGGAGTGAGGATTGAAGAGAAGCCTGGACAGTGAAGAGAAGCCCTGAATGCTGGCTGACTCTGACCCCCTCTTCTGCCTTTTCCTGGACTGATGTAGGAATCCCAACTCCCCTCCACAAAGAGAAGGACACACACTCTGCCTAGTCTCTGGGTCACATTGGAGAAGTGGTTCTTTGGTCCCAGAAGATGCTAGGCAGTGACCTCTCCCTTCAGGCCTGTCTTGCTCATCTGTGCAGTTAGGAAGCTGAGCTCCATTTGCAAGAAGCCTTAAACCCAAAGACTTTTTTGAAACTGGCACCTGGCTGTTGCTGCTGGGACTGAAGGTGACCACCCACCAGTGGGGATTTTTCACGTGTATATCAGATCTGCACTAGAATAGGTCTTGGGGTGTGTTGGTCGGCAAGGCAAACTTGACCCTGAAGAAGGCCACATCTGTAAGTCAGGTATTCAGTTACCATGGGACAGACACAGGGCTTGAAGAAGTTAGGGATAGTGAAGGTAGGAGAGGGAGGAGGCAGCAGATGGCAAAGCACATGCCAAGGCCCTGAGCTGGGAATAGGCAGTGGAGCCCAGGGAGGCTTGTGTTTGCAGAAGTGCACTCAGGCCCCCTGTGCAGTGGGGCTGTGGAGGGTCAGGAAAGAGGCCGGCAGCCTGGGGAAGGCAAGCACAGTTCTCTGGAAGACAGCCTTGAGCAAGGTGGAGGAGCTAAGAGAAGGGAGGGAGCAGTAGGCCTGAGGTGGGAGTGGTGGGTTTGGGGTGGGTTCTTGACCCTGTCAGACATCCGGGGGAATGATGGTTCTTTGAACCTGCCTCTGTTCTGGGTTGGGGCTGGTAGAGGGATTTATCCCCAATTTTTACCCTCTCCCTGCAGTTGCCTTACCCCCTGGCTTGTCCCACAGAGGTGCTCAGAGGATGCCAGCATCAGGATTGAGAATGCTTACAAGTGGCTCAGCACCTGGTGGGGAGGCTGAGGTCCCATCTTGGGCCAGAGCCATCCTGTGCTCACCCATTTTGCCCGTGCTCTGCTGCTGAAGAGAGTGTGCAGATCAAATGGTCACATTCCTCAGCTCATGGATGGGGACGGGCCTGGGGTCCTGGAGAGCAAGTGGCCTACCAACAGCCTAGCTTCTTGGCTGCAGAAAAGCTCTCAGGGGGGGGGGGGGGGGCGCCTCACTAGAGAGGGGGACTGGTAGGATAGCGCCTCAGTTCCCTCATCTAGAATGTGGAGGGCCTGCCATTTGTAAGTTTTTTTATTTATTTTTTATTTTTTGGTACCAGGAATTGAACCCAGGGGTGCTCAATCTCTGAGCCCCATCCCCAGCCCTTTTTATATTTTATTTAGAGACAGAGTCTTACTAAGTCGCTTAGCACCTTGCCGTGCTGTGGTTGGTTTTTTTTTTTTTTTTTTTTGTGTGGTGGAGAGAGAGAGGGTTGCAACATAAATTTTTTAGTATTTGGCGGACACAACATCTTTGTATGTGGTGCTGAGAATCGAACCCGGGCCGCACGCATGCCAGGCGAGCGCGCTACCGCTTGAGCCACATCCCCAGCCCTGTGGTTGGTTTTGAATTCTCCATCCTCCTGCCTCAGTTTCCCAAACCACTGGGATTATAGGTGTGCACCACTGCACTGGCACCTTTTGGAATTCTTGGGACTGGGTGAAAGACTGAAGGCAGAGCACCCACACCAGCAGCCCTCACTCTAAGGAAATACCAGCTGTGGCCGAGCCACTTCCTGTCTCTGGGTCTTGATTTCCTCTTCCGTGAAGTGGGGTGAAGAGGGCTCCGCTGCCTCAGTCCCAGCACTGACTCAGTCCCTGACTCCCCAGCACTGGGTTCCCCTGCTCAGAGCCTCCCGCCTCCTGAAAAGTCCTTTCCTTCCTTCTCTCTCTGGTCCCCATACTGAGTCCAGTTGGGCTCCCCGTGGGGCCTTTGGGTCCTAAAAATGGACTGAGCGCCTGCTGGGTACCTCCTAGATGGTGGGGTCCCTACCTTGGCTCACAGCAGTGACCACAGAGTTCAAGGTTGCCGTGGTTAACTCTTACCCCTCAGACGTATCCTTGAGACCTTTAGAGCTGCCAGGTAGGTTTAGAAGAGTCCCTTAAATGACAGCCAGGGTTGGTGTCCCTGGGTATCTTGTTTTCCTGTGAGTTTGGTTTTGAAATGGGCTTGTGGACCTGGTAGTTGGATCACTGGGTCAGAGCAAAAGAGGGTCTTTAGAAAGGAGCCTGAGACGAAGCCCTCCAGCTGGGGAAGAAAAGCCAGGGGTGGGATTGGTGACAAGGTGCTGCTGAAGGTCAGGCCCCTTGGGCTGGCAGAGGGGAGGGAGGACTGCAGTTGGAGGGTTGGAGGGTCACTTTGGGAGCTGCAGTGGGATTTGGTGATGGATTGAAGGAAGACACAAGTCTTTGGAGTAGAAGGCATTTCTCAGCCCCTAGCAGAGCGTACGTCCAAGGGGATGCTGGGTAGGGGCCCCCATTATGGTAACTCTTGATAATTAAAAAAATTCTCTATAATTGTGGTAGTTCTGGGTAATTACGGTGGTGGTTGGTGGCCCATTTCTGTCCACAAGGCGGTAATGCTGCACCATGTCTCCATGCCTGGCCAGCCCTGTGCCTGTGGCTCAGGGTCACTCCTCCCTCAGGGGATGAGGAGCTGCGCCTGGGGCTTCCCCGCTCCTGGGCCTCCAGTGCTCCTCCTGTCTTTCCGCCCTCGGTGGCCACCCCTGGGGTGGGGCAGGGCTCTCAGGTCTTGGAGCCAGTCCTGGGAGTAGCTGCGGATTTGGATCCCGCACCAGGACCCTTGAGACCTGAGCCAGTGAGTCCCCTGCCCCTCAAAACCACATTCTAGAAGGTCTGCAGCAGTGAGCAGAGAGCTGGGTCAGATGGCGAGAAACAGGATGAAGGGGAAATGGAGCAGAATCGGGGTCAGGTGTCCCAGGGAAGCCTCTGATGGTGACCCTGGAGTCTGGTGGAAGTGCCCCTGGGAGATGGCAGCCTGCATGAAGGCCCTGGGGAAGGAAGCAGCCAGTTTATGTAGTGGGGGGCTCTAGAGGGTCTGAACGGAAGTGGCCGGGGAACACAGAGGTGCCAGGGAAGAGCAGCCCCTGCTGGGGTTCTGCCACAATCCTGGTAAGAGACCTGGGCTGGGGGTGTGGGCAGGACACAGGGGGCTTCCCTCAGGTTTGGTTACTTGCAGCAGGGGTCTTGTCATGTGACCCAGGCTGGCCCTGAACCCCTGTCTTGAGCCATCCTGCTGCAGCCTTCTGATCAGCTGGGACTACAGGCCACCACGTCTGCTTTGGTTTTGTCTTTAATGTAGTAAATGCAGTGTGTTGGGGTACGGCCGAGGGGAGCCCAGTGGACACCTGGTCCAGGCCAGGGCTCATTTGAATTTGGGGGCACTGAGTTCTGGCGACCAGCGTGGGAGTGGAAGGAGTCGCGGTGGGCAGCTGGCAGAGGCAGACACAATGACGGGGACGGGGCAGGTGGTGGGGAGGAGCGCGGGGCTGCCGGCCGGGCCTCCAGCTGCCAGGTGGAGAGTGGAAGCCTGAGTGGAGTGGGGACCGGGCTGGAGGTGGGTCCTAGCTGTTTGGGAGCGTCACCAGATGTCTTCAGATCAGGAAGGGAGGCCACCAGGGAGAGGGGAGGATGTGGCCTGGGGTGGAGCAGGCAGGGCGTGGAGGCGCTGGAGGATGCAGCGGTGGGCAGGGGGCTCTGGGGACTCTGGGCTGTGGGACAGTGTGTGGAAAGGGGATGGAGAAGGACATCGTAGGAATGCTCAGTGGACCTACTGATGACAGGGTCACTTCCTTAGGAATATCTTGAGACCCCAGGAAAGCGTGTGCTCCTGGGGTGTGTGTGGTGGAATGCGGCCACGGCAGGACCTGTCCCCATGCTGTCCTGCTGCCCCTTCCTGCACCTCCGGGAAGCCTCCCTGGGTCCCCCCAGCCCTTGTCTTTCTGTCCATCTCGGTGTCTCACCACCCGCAGCCTTTGTGCCCCCTCTCTGATGCCCAGAGCCAGGCCTGTGGGCCCCGAGCCTCATGGGGCGAGGAGGGTGGGGTGGCGTGAGCTCCCCAGTCTGGTGGGCTCTCCACAGACCTCCCCCATTGGCCATTGCGGGCATCCTTCACTGACGGGAGTGGGTCTGACAGATGCTGGCTACTTATGAAGCTCAGGAAGCCTCTAGAAGTAAGTTGGTTGATAACCCTCGAGGCCAAGATGCCAAGGTGACCAGTCATAGCAAGGGTGGACATAGAAATGGGGTGTCAAGTCAGAATCTGGGCCCGGAGGTGCTTTTGAGTGGGGTAATGATGTGACAGTGACTGCGGCCTGTCTGGGGGACCACACACTGGGACATGTCCCCTCTGCCCCATCCCTGCACCTTAGGTGGCCATCACCACCCACTAGGGGAGATGTGAGCTGCAGAGACCCTCCTTGCCCTGTGCCAGCTACACCCCGACCTGAGACAGAGTGTCCTTTGCTGGCCCCCGCCCCTTTTTGCCTCCCCGCCGCCTGCCTTCCCTGCTCCTCTGGGAGTCTGGGGCTGGAGGCCTCTCCTCATGTTTGCTGGTTATTGGGGGAATGGACAGATGGATGGAGAAAGGACAAGTGTCCAGGGCAGGTCAGAACTAGAGAGGGGAGCCCCCACATTCATTTCCTAGTAGTTGGGCCTTGGCAGAAGCGCTGGAGCTGGGGTGGGACTGAGTAGATGGGGTACGTGGGGGGAGTGCAGGGACATGAGGTGGAACTCAGAGTGAGGCCAGGAGGGCCGCGAGACTGCAGAGCATGAGTCAAGGGAAGGTTATTTTAGGATGGGGCTGTCGGCCAGGGGAGGGCGGCCGCCGAGTGGGGAGCAGACAGCTGAGGCTGCTGGGAGGCCTGCGGCCAGCCGCCTCCTGTCCCTGCCCACCCTGATGGCGTGGGGAGCCATGAGGGCCGGGACTGGGAGTGGGAGGACCCTGAGGTACCCAGGGAGTCAGGAGGGGCTGGAGCCCAGGGATTAGGTGACACTGGGAGCGGGGGTGGGGGCCCCTGTCCCTACTAAACCTACTGTGGAAGGTGGCCTGGGAAGCCAGTGAGTGACCTGGCTTCCTTTTGTGACCTACAGAGGGCAGTGCTGGGGCCATCTGTCTGGGCGAATAGTGGCTGAACCCTTGTTTTCAGGGTGAGCAGTGACTGAGGAAGAGTCCAGGTCTCCCTGCTGGGGACCCATGCAGGATACTGGGTGTTAGGGTAGCACCATAGTGAATATGCGCACCTCTGGCTCTGGCTCTGCGGGAGGGTCAGGACTGTCTTGTTTGGGAGTCTGCAGAAAAGTTGCAGCTACCTCCTGCTGGTGACCCCGAGGGAGGGGAGGGGACGCAGGGACACCAGGGAGTGGGAGCCTTCCTGGCAGGCACAGCTGGGATGGGGTAGGTAATGGCCCTGGGCACGTGACACAGCTGCCCACCCAGAGTCGCTCCCTGGTGCCCCATCAGGAGAAGCATCGGGAAGCCTGTTTCTGGGTGGAGGTACCCCCAGGGCCGAGGTCACCTGGGTGTCAGTGTTGGTAGGATGGGGCAGGGCTTGGTCCATGAGGGTGTGCTGAACTGAGCGAAACTGGGCCTCGAGTTGAGGGTGGGCGATGCCCGGGGATCCTGCAGGTTGGGTGTCGATGGACCCTAGGAATTGGCTGAGCTGAGCAAGAGGGTTGAGGATGCCATCTTCTGGGAGGGATGGAGGGATGGGAGCACAGCAGGGGGGTGGGCTTGGGGAGGTACTGGCCATAGGCCCTGCTCACCTCGCCCGCCCTCCCCACAGGCTGGCTCTGTACGTGTACGAGTACCTGCTGCACGTTGGTGCCCAGAAGTCAGCCCAGACCTTTCTGTCAGAGGTGAGCTACACGCCAGCCTGGCCTTTCCCTCTGCCACACCCGGGGTCCTCTGCCCTGTTTCCACTGGGGCATCAGTTGGGATGGCTCCTTCGGTGGCCCAGGGAACCGAGGGCAAGGATGGGGTCAGGAACGTGAGCCGGCATCCATCCCGGCCTGTGGCCCTGGATCCATGTGTCCACCTCAGTGGCTCTGGTTGGCCGGCTTGCCCCCTTGCTCTGATCTGGTGGCCCCCCAGCCCCAAATGCCCGGGCTCCGTGGGCTGGGTGGCGGGAGGTTGGCCTGGGCCGCAGCCTCTCAGCCGCCTCCCCTCTTCCCTGCAGATCCGATGGGAGAAGAACATCACGCTCGGGGAGCCCCCAGGGTTCCTGCATTCCTGGTGGTGGTGCGTGTGGTGCTGCTGGGGGCAGAGAGGGGACAGGGACCAACGGGATGTGGCGCAGTCATCGTCCCCTCTGCTGCCCACAGTGTGTTCTGGGATCTGTACTGTGCAGCGCCAGACCGCAGAGAGGCGTGCGAGCACCCGGGCGAGGCCAAGGCCTTCCAGGACTACGTGAGTACTGTCCCGGGTGGGGGTGGGCACGCCTGGGCTCTGTGGGCCTGGGGGGACCTGGAACCTTGTCCCTGTGCACCCCCTTCCACTGCAGCCAGCTCCTGAGGGTCCTATAGCCCCCCCAGGGTGTGCCGCACTTCCTGCCTCCCTGCTCAGCTGGGTGGGGTGGGCACCAGCCTGTCCCTGCCACCCCAGACTCTGGGAGCCCACGTGCTAGTAGGGGAGGCAGTGGGGCCCTGTCCCCACAAGCTCTAGAGGTCATCATCAGGGCACTTCCTGGCCCCTAGGGCATGGGCTCCACCTATCGTGGTGTTTCTGGTTGGGTTGTGGGGCTCCGATGCCTGTCTGCAAAGGAGGCTGAGGCGTATCTTATCATTATGGGGCTGTGGATCTGAGGATGTGCCCTCACTGGCTGGCGGCTGGGGACAGTGCAGCTGACCTCCCATCCACGCTGGGGGACTTCGCTGCAGGGTGGAGCTCAGTGCTTAGCTCCTCAGGTCCCTGAAGCAACCTGGGGCACACTCCGCGTGGAAGCAGGGCCATACTGATGGCCTCCCAGCATCACTGTCACCTACCGAGACTCTTAGTGCCCCTGTGCCGTACCCCTAACCCTGCCGGAGGAGTGGGTGGAGGTGCCTGTCCTCCGCAGTGGCACTGCAGCCCCCCCTGCTCCCGCTGGGGTCTAGCAGCCTCCCCAGGCGCCTTCTGATCCGCCACTCGGCAGAAGGCACAGGCCGGTTTCCATGGCAGCACCAGCATTGGGAGCAGCTTGGGCCAGGAGAGGGGGGCGGGGGCTCCCCAGGCCTGGGTGAGGGTCACTGTAGCCAGGAACTGGGTGCGTGACTGCCAGACTGCCACCCTCCGCTGTGACGGGGCGTCCTATGTGAGCTCCCAAGGGGGCCCCATCCTCCCGGCCCGGCCCGAGTGAGGATTCTGTGTGCCCCTCCCTGCTCCAGGGCTCCCCAGCCGACCTTGGCGTCTCCAGGAAACGCTAGCGTGCCCAGCCCCGTCGTCATGACAACACGGGCAGGGCTCTGGCGCCTCTTTGGGATGATTGACGTGGGGGGTCTGGCTCGCTGGGGCTACCAGCTAGGGAGGCAGCCCAAGATTAACCCCTCAGGGCCTAGGAGTTGGGGGCACAGGTGCCACCCACCCCCTCACCTTGCGGTCTGTGGTCTGGGCCCAGCCAGAGTCCACCTCCCCTCCCTTCCTGGCTGGGCCTCCCAACCCGGATTGCCCAGGTGTCCCCTGGGGTGAGAGGGGGGCCTGGCTTCCCGGGGCTGGACTGACCCCAGGGGAGGTGCCCCCTGGCCAGCTGAGCGTGCAGAGCCCTGAGTCCCAGAGGCAAGCTGGCAATTTGGAACTGGAAACCCGAGACGAGTTGGGGGCTGAGGCCGTGACCCTCCTCAGATCACGTTGCTTTCCAGTGATTTGTCGGGGGCTCTGGGAGGCTCTCTATCCACATGCGCTTGGAGAGGCACCCGCTTCCCCCTCCACTCGCCAGGCCTTGGCTGAGCCCTTGAGGCTGCCCTTTTGAGAAGGGGCAGGAAGGGAGTCCAGCTGTGGCCCACAGAGAGAGGGTGAACCAGAGACCCCTCTCCTAGCCGGCCAGTCAGGGCCAGCAGACAAAGCACTTTCCTCTCCGCACCCAAGGGGCCGCAAGGCCACAGGGCCAGAGCACCCTGTATGCCAACTTGTGCCTGCCCCAGGGACTGGGCACCCCTTTCTCTGGGGGTTTTGACCTGGTGGAGGAGGGGGATGTGGACAGATAAGGGCCAAGCAGCCAAGAGGGGAGACCTGCTTGCTCAGGGACTCAGGTGCTGGCCTCCCAAGCCCTCCTTCCTTGCCCCCTTCTCCACATCTGGTCCTGGGGCTGCGGAGACAGACTGGTCTGGAACTCGGAGCTGATTAGGAACTGGCCTGTCAGCCTGTCCTCTGCCAGCTTAGGGCCTGCCCAGAAACCTCACCTTCACAGACACAGGAGCCCTCATCTCTAGCACCCCCTCCTCCCCCCTCCCCACCGAAGGAGCGTCCAGATGCCTGGGGACCCCACCCTAGTCCTGCTCTTCCTCCTCCATCCTGGGGGAAGAGATTGTGGGGGGGGCGGGGGGTCTGCACAGCAGTTGCAAGGAGCCTCCAGGACCCAGTTGGACTTTGTGTGTGCTTGGGGTGTTGGGGATGGGCTTAGGGGCCCGAGTTGCCCTGCCAGTCAGAAGGCTAGGGCCAGTTGGGTGGACTTGGAGAGCAGGGCCAGCCCGGGGCCACCCTGTCCATACGCCTTTGCTACTGAATGAGCCCCTCACTGGGGTCTGGGGCAGCGGAATCCTCAAGTGGAACCTCACTGGAGGCTGGGACCACTTTGCAGCGACGCTTAGCTGGGGTGGGGCTGGGGCAGCTGCTCTTCCCTCACTTGGACCCCCCCAGACTCCCCGTGGGCTGACAGTGTCAACTAGACTGGGTTCAAGTCCAAACTTGATCACTTACAGCTGCCTGTCCCATGGCCACCTGCATATAGGAGGGGAAGACACCCCATGCAGGAAATGTCCTGACCTGGCCCTCACTGTGTCTCCCATCCCCTCAGAGTGCTGCAGCGGCCCCCAGCCCGGTGATGGGGAGCATGGCTCCCAGTGATGCGATGGCCGCAGGCCCCATGGCGCCCGGATTCTTCCAGGTATGGCCAGGCCTGGGACTCCTTTTCCCCCAACCCTGGGTGGGCATGTATCTGAGGCGGGGGTCGGGGTACCTGTTCTGGACTTGGCAGAGCCAGCAAGGGAGGGACCTAGGTGCGATGGTGGGAAGGGGAATGTCTGCACAAAGGAGCACAAGGTGGTTGGGATGCAGTGGCCACCAGTGGGCCTGGTGTCCACCAGTGACACAAGTCCCACCTATGACCCTTCAGGCAGGGCTCCCTGCTATAGGCTGGCCCACCCCCCTGCCTCCATGGAGTCCCCTCCCGCAACCCACCTGGTTCTGTCCTCTTAGGGCCCCTTTGGCTCCCAGCCGCCCCCCCACAACCCCAACGCCCCTATGATGGGGCCTCACAGCCAGGTAAGGACCTGTGGCCCTGCCCAGCCACGCACATGCGCACACACACCTCCCCCTCCCCCAGCGCGCTGTCTAGTCCAACGACCACGTTTTTTGTTAGCTAGAGGAAGGGCCTGTCCAGACTGGGGGTCTGGGCATAGGAGGGACTGGGGAGCTTTGGGGGAGGAGGGTGGAGGTGGCGCTGATCCCCCACCCACCTCTTCCAGCCCTTCATGTCACCGCGGTTCCCAGGGGGCCCCCGGCCCACCCTGAGGATGCCGAGTCAGGTGAGAGAGGGATGAGGGGAGGGGGCAGCAGTGGGCCAGGGCGGGGGCACCCCACTCAGTGCAGCTATGCCCCTTCGCAGCCTCCTGTGGGCCTCGCAGGCTCCCAGCCCCTCCTCCCTGGCACCATGGACCCCTCCCCGCGCACTCCCGGTGAGTAGGGAAGCTCTCAGGACCTGACTCCCAGCGTCCCCACCTGGCTGCCTCACAGTGCAGACCCCACATTCGCGTCCACACTGGGGAATGGCCCAGATCTGAGCCCCCTTCTTTCTGCTCCCACCCCAGGGCACCCCAGTATGGGCGGCCCGATGCAGCGGGTGACGCCTCCCCGGGGCGTGGCCAGCGTTGGGCCCCAGGTAAGGGCCAGCGGAGATGGAGGTGGGGTGAACCTGAGGGGCTGTCCCTCGGAGGTGGTACCCTTCACAGCTCCTTTGCCTTCACAGGGTTACGGAGGTAGCATGAGGCCCCCGCCCAACTCCCTTGCTGGCCCAGGTCTGCCTGCCATGAACATGTAAGGCCCTGAGTGTGTCCCCAAGCATGTGTCCACCCGAGTAAAGGGGCAGTATCTGCAACGGCAGGACAGCCTAGATGGTGCTTACTCCATTGGCACTGTTTAGGTGGGAAACCGAGGCCCAAGCAGCAGCCAGACCCTAGTTAGTGGTTGGAATTTGAGCCCGGGGAATTGGCCCAGGTGACTACCTCTCAGGCGACCTATGCTGTCCTCTCTGGAGGCAGAGAAGAGCAGGGTGGGATGGGTGACTGCTGTACCATCCTGGCCTAGCCCCAGGGTCTATCACCATCTCTTCCAGGGTCCCAGGAGTGCGAGGCCCTTGGGCCAGCCCCAGTGGCAACTCGGTGAGTCAGGGGCAGGGTGGGGTGCACTGGGTGGTGGAGCCCGCAGGGCAGAGGCGAGGAGCCTGCCCATGCCAGCTACTCACAGCTGCTCCTGTCCCCAGATTCCCTACTCCTCCTCATCCCCCGGCAGCTACACGGTGAGTCCGGGTGAAGTTGGGCAATATGCAGGCTGGGGCCCGGGCTGGCAGCCAGGGGCCTTTCTCACGGCCCTCTCCCTCCATGTGCAGGGACCCCCAGGAGGAGGTGGACCCCCTGGAACACCCATTATGCCCAGCCCTGGAGGTATGGCCTGGGCGGTGACGCGGGCGGGTGCATGGGGGGAAAGCCCATTCACACCCCACCAATCGTGGCCCTGCTGTCCCTCCAGACTCCACAAACTCCAGCGAGAACATGTACACCATCATGAACCCCATCGGGCCGGGCGCCGGCAGAGCTAACGTGAGTGGGGGTGCAGGGCTAGGACCCTAGGTAGGGGGTGACCCCGTGGGGGGAAGTGATGAGGTCGGTCAGGCCCATGCTGCTCTGTCCTCACAGTTCCCTCTCGGCCCTGGCCCGGAGGGCCCCATGGCCGCCATGAGCGCGATGGAACCGCACCACGTGAACGGATCCCTGGGTGAGTGGCACGGCCCCGCCCCAGCCGAGCCGCTCGGTGGGCCTCGAGCGCCCCCTGGCGGCGGCAGCCCTCCCACCCGCGGGAGCTGTTGAGGCTTCTGGGCCGTGTCCCGGGCCGGGCGCATCCCGCCTTTAAACCACTGTTGCCCCAATCCGGAGACCCTGCACATGCCCTTTCTGGGGACCCAACGGCGTGGGTCGTCCGGGGCTGGGGGAGGCTCGGGGAGGGCGGCGGGCCGCAAGCTCCGGGCGCGGGCGGGGAGGCGGCGGCTCCGGAGTCCAGCAGGCTGGCGCAGGCGCGTCTGAACCGCGTGTCGGTCTGTCGTTCTCAGGCTCGGGCGACATGGACGGGTTGCCGAAGGTGAGGGCTGCGCTCCTGCAGGGGGCGAACCGGGCGGAGGTCTGGGTGGGGGCGGGCAGGGATTCGGCGCTGACGGTGGCCGCCCCTAGAGCTCCCCCGGTGCCGTGGCCGGCCTGAGCAACGCCCCGGGCACCCCGCGGGACGACGGCGAGATAGCGGCCGCCGGGACCTTCCTGCACCCGTTCCCGAGCGAAAGCGTAAGCGACTGCGTCGACTCTCCCCCCGCGGCGGCGTCGGGCCGGAGGGGCCTGGCGGGCAGGCCCCGGCGGGGCGGCCGGGGGGCCAGAGCAAGACCGTGACCGCGGCGGGCCAGGTGGGGGGGGCGGCCGCGGCATCCTTTCCTCCACTCCCCGCCCACTCCCGCCCCTGCCCTCCCCCCAAGAGCCCCAGGACGGCCTCCCCCTGCATCCCGCCCTGCCCTGCCCCGCCCCGCCCCTCCCCGGGTCGGCCCTGCTCTTCCCAGTCTCCCTTTCTCCTGGGGGGAGGTGGGGGAGGGTCCCAGCCGAGGCGAGAACTGAGCCCGCCCCTGCGCGCCGCCTCCTCTCTCTGCAGTACTCCCCAGGGATGACCATGAGCGTGTGATGGGGCTACGGCCCCAGCCCTCTGCCCACCTCGGCTTCTGCTCAGTGTCCCTACGCGGGGCGAGGGTCTGAGGTCACACCTCTGGCACCTGGACACCTGGCCAACCAGGCTTGGACAGCTGGGAGGCCCCACAGGACTTTCTCATTTTATAAAAACGCAAGGACCTCAGAGACGTTGTTTCCCACGTGGGCCCTTCCCGCGGCTCGCGATTCGTCAGAGGGAGGCTCCTTGGTGGCCCCCTCTCCCCAGGACAGCAAGGGTGGACCCTTCCAATAAATGTAACTGGTTTTGGTTTTTGGTAGCCGGGTCTGGATTCTCACTTGGGCCTGGACCTGCAGCCACATCTTCCACCCTGCTGTTCTGCCACCCCCAGGGCTGGGAGGTTCCTGGGAATTGGGACAATAACTGTGAAGAGTGGGTAGGAGTTTGACCAGCTGAAAAGAGGGTGGGGTAGAAGCTAGGTGTCTAGCTGATGCTGGACAGGTTTGGGGGTGACCGTAGGAGCGGGTGACCATTGGACACACCACACAGGTGGAGGTTTGTCTGATAGGGGCGTTGACTTTATTGTCTTTACAGGACCTCGAAAGGATGGCCCCAGAGGGGTGAGAGGAGGGGCTGGGGGTCTGCAACTGCAGCTTCAAGCTGTGGGCATCTGGGGTGCCTCTGCCTGTGGGTGCCCATTGGCATCGCCGGTGTAGCCATTGGGGGCAATGGGCGCTGGTCCTTTCTTGCAAGGCAGAGGGCAGGCGGTGGCCACAGAACCGACTCGCTTGACGCCCAGGCCTGGGCGCTCCATCTTGTGCTCCAGGAGCATGTGGTTTTGTGGGGGGAGCCCCACACAGGCCCTGGGGGACAGGGCTGGGATCAGCAGGGCCAAACCTCCAGGCTGGTGGCCTCTGCAGCCTCCAGCCCCCTAGCCCTGTGCACAGCCCCATGAGTGGATGGATATGTGGGCCATGGGTGGGAGCTTCGGGACCCAGCGCACCTGAGGATGTTCTCTATGCAGCTGCGCTGGCGGAAAAGCGCATTGACCACCGGGCTGCCTGGGGGCACAAGTGGAGCCTTGAAGAGGAAACTGAGGAGCGATAGCACAGGGTGGAAGCCCTGTGGCTCTGGGTCTGTGTTGGTGGTGAAGCTCACGCGCTGGCACAGCTCAGTGAGCAGTGCCAGGTCCAGCATGATGGGCGCTGCCAGCAGCGAATCCTGTGGGGTGGGCGGGTCAGGAGGCTGTGGGGTGGGTGTGGCTTCCCATTCAGATCCTCCCGCCGTCTCTCCCACTGTACCTCACAAGTATTGTGCAGCACCAGTGTATTGGTTCCACCAAGCATCAGCTCTGATGTATACTCATCCAGCGCACGCTTGCTGTCACCCACATAGGGCACATACTTGATGACCACCTAGGGTGCAATGCCAGGTCGCAAGGGCCCCTGCCACCTCCAGCCAGAAGCCCCCCACCTGGCTCTTGTGGACCCCTACGCACGCAGTGGTCAGGCGCCTCTCCTGGAGCGTACAGCACTGGGTTACTCTGCACCATGTCGTCTACCACGCTGCTCTTGGACACCTCCTTTGAGCGGAACTGCTGGGGCGCCGAGAGGTTCTGCCCATCGTTGTTGCCCAGGTGGTTGTAACTCACGATGGACATGGTCTGGTCAAAAGAGGTGGCAAAGAAGCCCTAGGCCCTGCAGGGAACTAGGTAGGTCCTTCGGGTCCAGGTTCCTTTCCTGCATTTTTCACCTCCCCAGATAGACTTACCTTGAGGCCAGAGCCAATGAGGAAGTCCACGAGCACAGACTTGACCTTGGTCTGGCCTGATTTGAAGTCATCTCCACCCACAAACACTCGATGCTGCGCCGCCAGCTCAAGCGCACCGGGCACCAGTGTGTTCTGCGGGGATCCATTGAGGAAGGCGCAGCCCTCCAGGATGCTGGCCACCGCAAAGAGCGTGGATGGTGACACCTCTCGGCCAAGCTGCGGGTGTGGGTGGGCAGTCAGTAAGAGGGGGGTCCAAGGAACTGGCCCTCACCCTACTGCACCCTGGCATGTGCCCACCTGGATGGTGTGCAGCAGGTTCTCGGCTGTGTCATTGAGACCAGGAACCACTTCGCAGAAGCGCTCTGTGTTCGCTGTCCACAGCACGATGACCTTATCCAGCCCGGCGCTGGATCGGAAGTCGCGGATGTCCCTGCGGATCTGCTCCAACTGCAGGGAGGGTGAAGGAAGGCTAGCGGGGAGGTTGTACAAACCCCACGGTTTGCAGAAGCATGGGCCACTCAGTTCTCCAAAGTACTAAGTGGGGCCTGGGTGCCCAGGATAGGAGCATGAGGCAAAAGGGAGTGAACTGGTGGCAGGGAACAAGGGATGTGGGATGAGGCAACACCTGCTGTGCGCGTGTGCCCGGGATGAGGTTGTCAGCACGCGCATTTTGGTTGGCCGCGATGAACTCGGGGATGTAGACCGAGGGCCGTGGACGCATGGCCTCCATATGCGGCCACAGTTGCTCCTGAAGGCCCCAATCCAGTACCTTCGCGCGCCGCATAGCCTCAGCCAGGTTCAGCGACGAGATATCCCAGCCTGCGGGGGACCCTCATGCTTGGCCCAGCCCTGATCCCCAGCTGCTCCAGACCCCACCTCCCATCCCGCCCAGGGCTCCGCCCACCATCAAACACCAGGTCGTTGGGCGACACCATGGGCAGCAGCGCACTGAAGGGCACGAACACCTCCTGGCCCTCAGCATCCAGACCCAGGTTCACGGTACCGGCCTGAGTCAGCGAGCCGTAGTAGTTGGCTTCCTGGGTGGTGGGGGGAACCAGACACAGCGGGGTAAGGCGCAGGCGTGGCGAGAGGAGGGCCCGCGGCCTGCCCGGGGCTCCGCCCTGCCCTCCTGCGCTTTCAGCTCCGGGCTCCAGGCCGGGGCGGAAGCCTCTCCTCCCCAGCGGGTTCCCCGAGCCCGCCGTGCCTAAGGCTCCGCCCCCACAAGGCTCCTGCGGCTCTCCGCCCACCTTCTGGAACGCCCAAGGAGGTCCGCGGCAGCCAGGCCCCGCCCCCAGCAGGCCCCCTCCCCGCCCGCAGGAACTCCGACCCAGCCCCCCTCCGCGGCCGGGCCTCCGCGGCCCCCCACCTGGCGACCAGCGCGCGTGGGCCAGGACAGGCGCAGTCGGTTGGCCAGCACGGCGGCGGTAAGCGTGGAGCCGTTGTTCCCGCCCCAGCCGACGAGCATGACCCCAAGCCGGGGCACCTGCCGGGCAGTCCGGAAGGTGAAGCGCGTGGACGTGGGGCGCACCTGGGGGCAGGCGTCGTCGTAAGACGGGGGCCCCAGCCTCTTCTCCCCTCAAGGCAGGGAGAGGGTTGGAGATGTTGGACAATCCCCCGCCATCATCTCCCTAGTGTCCCCAACCCAAGGCTCCTGGGCCCCTCGCCCACCTTGAGGACACCGCCCTCACGGCTGACGCGCGTCGTCCGGTACTCGTACTGAGCCTCGATGGCCTCGGGGCTGTAGACCACGTCCGGGCTCTCGACCACGAACTGGGGGGCTGCCTCCATCGCGGCGACCTGGGGCCCGGGTTAGCAGAGGGTCAGCGGGGACCCCAGGTGACCGGCCCAAGCCGGCCTGGGTCCTCAAGAAGCCCCCAATCCGTCCAAGACCTCGCTCACCTTCGAGGAGTCAGCTCCGACCGCGGCGGCGGACAGCGCGGGCTCCGGGGCGGCCTCGGGAGAAAAGCGCCGCGGCCCCGCCCCCCGCCCCGCCCCCGCCTTGTTGGGGAGGGGCGCGACGGCGGGGGCAGGGGTTCTAGGCCGAACTGTCGAGGCCCGATCAGGCCGGAAGCGGCCGGGTCACCACTGAGCGGCATTGGTTCTCTTCTCTAGGGGTCCTCTGGACACGCGGCCGCTTATTCCCATTTTACAAAAGCGGACGATGGGGCTACAATTGAGCCCCAGACCCCGGCCACAAGCTGGAGGATGGGGCTGCGCAGGAAGGCTGCGGCTGTGGAGGGAGGGGCCCGGGTCTGTGATACTGCAGGGGAAACAGACCTGGAAGCCAGGCCGGCCTCCTCTATGAGCGGTGGCCGCCACTCAGTACTCCGAATCTCTGGGCCCCATGAACCTGGAGCGGGTGGACCAAATTTCCTCTGCCTCAGCGGGGTTTCACATGCATGAGGAGTAGCGGGCTGGAGACATGGCTGGTCACTAGGGAGGAGAGAGGACCGCCAGTGTGGGGAGGAGCCGGGACAGCACACCAGAGGCCCCCCTCATGCACAGTGATAAGGGAGCGTGGGAACCCAGCGGGCAAGCGGGGGCGGCTCCCCCAAGGAACTTTCCAAAACAAGCCAGCCGGAAAGTTTCCACCACTGGAGCTGGCCCAAAAGGTGGAGAGTTTGGGAATGTTTGCAGGAAAGGCAGCCGGGGGCCTGGTCTTGGGGACTGGGGGCTCCAAGAGTCTGGCTCTTGGAAAGGGCCCCACTCTGAAGTAGGAAGGGGACCAGGACTGGGGCACCTCCAGTTGGAAGGAACTCACAGAGGAGGCTCTACAGAGCAGGGTTTCCAGAGGAAGTGGCTGGTGGAAGGGGTTTTGAGGTATGAAGAGGAGTTCACCTGGAGAAGACTATAAGCAGGTGCCTGAGTCACCTAAAAGCCTTGGGGAAGGGGCTCCCACTCTGATGACAAGGTGGCAATGGAAGGCAGGCACCAGTCTGGAGACCATGCTGACCCCAGGGGCTGCTAGGAGAACATCTGGTATCTCCCTGGCTTCTGGGAGATTCGAGTTCAATCACACATCAAAAGTCATAAATTAGATTAACCAATCACATCTATGCAATCACACCACTGGAGCTCAGAACCCAGCTCCCCCAAAATGCCACTTTGACATGCAACCGGAATGCTTGTCCCCACGGCACCTGTCTCCCCCACCCATAGCACCAAGAATGCCTCGGAGGTGCGTTGCTGACCTGCCTGGTCTGGTAGCAGATAAGATCCCAGTTTCAGGAGTCCTGCCCCATCCCTGGGAGGGAGGACTCCCCACAGAAGGAGGCAAGAAGAATCTGGACGGACAGGCCCCGCTGGGCGTCCAGTCCCACCTGTTTCCATGACAACAGCCACTTTTGTCCAATACCTTTCTCCACGGCTGTCTGTGCTTCATGGAGCCCAAGCCCAGGACGTGTCCCCCTGGATTCTGTTTCTGAAGGCTCCTGGTCACCTGAGACCTTGATCTAGCGAGTTCTTTTCTCTTTACTCCGGGGATGGGAGCCGGGCCTCCTGCGTGCCAGGCAGTTGCTCTGCCATTGAGCTCCGCTCCAGCACCTTGTGGTCCTTCGTCACAGGAGTCAGGGTGGTGGCCTTTACCGGGGTGAGGAAAGGCACTGCAGGCCCTACAAGACTTCCGCACAGTCCCCTAAGAAGGGTTTGGGTGCCTTCGTGGTGGCGCTGGGTGGTGGCATGGATGGAGAGAGCAAGGGAGGTCCAAGGCCCCATCATGCCCTTCGCATGTCCCCTGTGTGGCTGTCAGCCAGTCCCCGAGTTCTGTGAGCTGTCATCCAACCCAAGGCGGGGGTCCTGGGAGACCCCTGAACAGCCTGTGGCTGGGCAGAGCTGTCCTGTCGGCAGCAGGAATGTCCAAGGGTCTGAAGTGGGGGCAGCCTGCGCGCTGAGCCTCTTCACCTGGGGTCGGACATCGGGGGATGAGGGCATGCTTGCAGCTTGAGGCCATACATGGCACCATGGGGACATATGCAGCAATGAGGAAGGCCCCCAGGCCTGGCATTCCCAGGGCGGGCTGGGTGGGGGCAGGAGGCAGCCCCACTAGCTCACAGGTCAGTGGGAAGCGACATGGCCTTGGCCCCGGGCCGCCTCCTTCCTGGCAGTTGGTGCTGGGAGGTGAAGGTAGGGGCTGTGGGGTGGCAAGGCTGAGGGAGGGGACTGGTGGGCCCGTGGACCAGGGTCACTGTGGTGACAGAGGTAGGAAGGAAGGAGCGTTGTCCAGCCGGAGGAGGAGTGTGGCGGTAGCCCCAGCCCTTTTCTGCCTTGGTGTCCAGGTCACCAGGAAGGAGACACCCTCCTGAGCTCCCAGGGGTCCAGGCCTCAGGAAGGACAGCGGGGGACAGACTGTAGCTTCAGTGGCCTATGGTCCAGGCAGAGCGGCAAGGCCAGAGGTAGCAGGTGCTGGCCCTGAGGTGTGGAGACGGGTGTTGTCCCCGGAAGAACGGGGTCCGGACCATCTTAGAAGCAGGGGACATTCTGCCTCGCTGCCGGCCGACCTCCCCCTGCGCCCCGCGGATTCCTGGCTGCCTCAGAACTCGGGCCAAGAGGCTGCAGCCGCCCCAGGCCCCTGCCCTCCGCGCGCCTTTGTTTTTCCTTTTTAAAATAAACACCCCAGCCCCCACCTCGTCCTTGGAGGCCCAGCGCCTGCGTCCTCCAGCTCCTCGCCTGGAACACAGGCCCAGATGGCCACCCCGCTGAACCTCAGCACTCCCACTGCCACCAGGGGGACAAGCCAGCCCCATGTGCCAGCCTGGGAGTCGCACACAACGAACCCCACCATGGCCACTGCTTCCTTCTTTACAGCTGGTTTCCGTGTCTTTGAGGGGATATCTATCGCCTGCTGCCGGGGGTGGCTTTGGACTCCTGGGCTGCGCAGCCTCCCCCTCAGCCTCCCACGGAGCTGGGGCCCAGCCACAGGCGACCTGCTGCTGTTTTCCCCAGAAATGGGGTGAGTCACAGCTTGTTCCCCCAAATATCCTGGTCTCACTCCTGTGTGTCACTCAGCAGCCCTGTCCAGACTGGGCAGGAGACATACTGTGCTCAGCGCCAGCTCTGCCGCCCTTTCTGTTCCCACTCATGGAGAGGGGTCTGGCCCTGTGGCGCCCGCAGAGGCCGCTGCCTTGGTCCCTTGTTCCCGGCCAGTAGCCTCAGGAGGGCGCGCGGGCTGCCCGCTGGACGCCCCTCATCACCACGGAGGCTCCTGGCCCCAGCCCACCCCCAGCCCAGGACCAGGGACTCCCTGGGGCCACCGCAGGACCCGGCTGTGACACACACACAAGCCAGCCAGGGGCGGCTGGTTCAGTTCAGTGAAATTTATTGTAGGTTGAAAAACTCAGCATTCCCGTGTTGAGTGTACAAAAAGGACACCAGGTGCTTAAGAAAATACGAGGGGACTGAAGATGCGACGCCTTTCAATTGTAACATTTTGGCAAAAGTGAAAAGTTCTTGTAAACACCAACTCCATGGCTCAAAATAGTTTTTCTCCACAGTACAACATTAAAAGGAAAAAACGTCAATAAGTTAGACCATCTTTAATCAGCTAGAACTTTCGTCCATCAACCCCGAGGCACAACAGCTTCCTCCGAGGAGGAGGATGCAGACGCCCAGGAGAGGCGAACTCTGCGGGGCCTGGGACGGGGCGGTGGAGGGCGGCCGGGCCTCCTTCAGCAAGTCCTTCCACCCCCGAGGGAGGGGGCAGAGCCCGCCTGGGCCGCCCTCCCCACCCCAGATGCCAAACAAAATAACAGCTATTGAAACATGAAGGATCAGTTTCCTCAGAGATGTGGGGACCCCAGGGGTCCCAAAGGAAAGACACTGGGGCGGGTGGGACATACGCAGGCGCCTCCACACAGGCGCCAGCTCTTTGGAAGCCACTGGGAGACACCCCCACGGTTTAGAAAAATAGACGCATCTGTGTTTACCCGCCCGCCCTCCCGCCTCACTGCTGTGGACGGCAGCGCCCCCCCACCGTGACTGACCCTGGTCACAGCCGCCCCCACCACATTCCCGAGTCATGGCTTCGCTTGGCCCTGAATGTGAACACTCGCCTCGCCCCCCACACCTTGTAGGGGTCACATACACTCGCGCGCACACACACACACACACACACACATAGTCCCCCAATGCTTTGGGGGACACTAAGAGACTAGGCACAGCAACAAAGCAGCAATTGGGTTATCTGTGGAGCTTGTGCCCCAGAGAGGACAGATAGGGCGTGTCCTCGGGTTCCCGCAGCTCTGTCCACGGGGCCCCAGCCCCTCCCTGAGTGCAAGCCCCAGCGGTGGCCCTGCTGGCACAACCCCAGGACGCACAGGTGGATGGAGCCAGGGCCAGGGCACGGTCAGCAGAAACCGCACGGCCTCGACGGCTCGGAACCGAGAGCAGCTGCGAGGGGGAAACCGAGGACCTTGGGACATCGTGCTGCCGCTGCCGAGGACTTCAGCTTGCAGCACAACACACCCGCGGCCCTGAAACAGCAGGACTGGCAGGGGCCCGGAGCGCGGCCTCCTCAGCTCTGAGCAGCTTTCCAGGGGCGCTGGGAGAGTCCCCCTGACCGAAGCCTCGAAGGTGGCTTTGGAGCAGAGACCTTGCCCAGCCCCGGGGCCCTGGCCCACCAGCTCGGATTCTCCTGGGAAGTCCCCAGCGCTGTGCCTTTCGGTGGCGTCTTAATACTGCGGGAAAGGACACAGGGTAACATCTAGACCCTGGATGTCCAAGGAGAGGGAGGCACAGGTTTAGAAAAAAAGATTTTGCTTTCTCTTTTGTACAAAAATAGACTTGAGTCTCTAGCAGTAGCTAAAAGTGGCTGACATTGTATAAAACTAGAAAAGGCAGGCAGGCTGGCCTCCGGTCTTCGGTTGTGGCGAGAGGGGAAGTGGGACCCCGAGGTGGGCTTCCGTGGGCCTGGCCTGCAGGGACTGCTGGGAGGCAGGGCGGGCCTGGGCCACCCCACTGGGCGAGCATGGCGAGGCCTCCCTGACAGCCGTGGTGCTGGCTCAGATGCGTACATCTCCCGTGTTTATTGTTTTAAATAAATCCTCTCTCCCACGCGCGCCCCCCAGCCCCTGGCACCCAGAGGGCCCGTGAGGTGGAGGGTGCCGGCTAGGGCCAGGCCTGCAGCTGCCGCTGGTCGTACTCGGCGATGAGCCTCTTGATGTGCGCCAGCTTGCTGTGCAGGTACTCGCAGCGGTGCTTCTCCTGGCTGTAGTTGGTGTTGGTCTGCGAGAGAGCGAGCCACGCGGGAGTCAGCCGCCCGCACCGGGGCTTGAGGCTGCCCAGGCATGCGGCCCCTGCTCGCCTGTGCCCAGCATGTGAGGGTCCTCCTAGGACTGGGACCCTGCAGGCTGAGACGCCGGCTCGTCCACCAGCAGAGCAGGGTCCCCTCAGCCAAGCCCATGTGGTGGCTCCCTTCCTACAGACAGGGCCCCTGAGGCCCCCCACCCCCGCACCCGACCTTGGGCACCAGCTCCGCTCAGGACAGGCTCGGCCCCTCTGGTGGAAGAGGCACCCTGCGGATCAGAGACCTGAGTCCACCCTCCTGCTCCAGACTCGTCTGGAACCTGGTGCGGCTGACCCCAACTGCCCAACACATGAGTATTCACCTTTTTGATTTTTCGATATTCCTGCAGAATCTGCCCGCGAGTGGTCTAGAGGGACAACAGAACAGCACATGAGTCACGTCTGCATCTGAAGGAGGCCAGGCTGAGCCGCCCTCTCGGTCGGTGCTCTGCACAGCTTCAGAAAGAGCAGCGGCCATGTGGCGGATGTGCCCTGTGGGAGCTGGGGCAACCTCCGGGGCAGAGCGACTGCCTTCCCCCAAGCCCAGCGGGGTCTGTCCACAGTTCCAGGGGCAAAGGGGTTGCTGTGGAGTGGCCACGTGGGCTGCAGGAAGCGTGTAGGTCCCAAGCCCTCAGAGAGCCCCATCATCCCTCCAGTCCTCTGGAGATCAGACTGACCTCGGGCAGGGGACACAAACCTTGACCCTTACCAGGGCCAGCCCTGCAGTCGGGCAACCAGCTCTGAAAGGTGGCAAGTGGGGACAATTGGTGACTGGGTGCGGGGCCTGATTGGAGGTTGTCGGTCAGCCAAACTTGTCAGGTCCTGACCCTTCTCACAGCCCGCCTGAGCACTTCCTCGTGAGGTCCGCCCCAGGGTCCCGCATCCCCAGCAGCCCCCGTGTCGCAGCAAGAATCCTGTCAGGTTGGTTTGGCCGGAATCCACCCCAGGTTCCCTCTCGGCCATTTTCCATCCTCTGAGGCCGGTTCTTTGCTCTCACCCCCACCTGCCTGGGCTATGTGGAGGCTGAGCCCTGCTCCCTGCAAGCCTATGGTGGCTTCCAGGTGGCCCTGTCCCTTTTCCTTATCCTGCTTTAACAAGTGGCACTGAGTAGCTACTTCTTCCTGTAGCACTGCTAGGGCTGGCGCCCAGGGCCCTCATGCCAGCTAGCGCTCTGCCACCGGGCCACACCCAGCCAGCAACTTCCTTCCTCAACGAGATGCTTTTGCAGCGGAGGAGGCGCCACGTTCCTGAGCCCCGGGGCCGGGATTCTGGGTCAGGGAGCTACAGGAGCCGCCACCCCCCTCAGTGCCCTCTGCCCTCTGCGATCACAGCAGTGGTGACAGGCTCTAGGTAGGGCCAGGCACCTGTAGTCCTGCTCATGATGTGGGGTCCTGAGCCCCGGGTCCTGGGTTTGAGCAGAGGACCTGCGCGCCTCAGCTCATCTTGCTCCTTTGCCTGCACAGGGGGCCGGTGGGCCTGGCTATCTGTGAGGACACCTGTGACGGGCTGGTTACTATCTGGCGCTGGCCGTGCGTGACACCAGGGAGGGCAATGCCTGTGTGTCCCCCGCCCCAGGGCACAGGCTCAGCAGGGACTCCTGGGAGGGCCGAGGGAGGCAGCGGCCCTACCTCGTACTCCTCGGAGCCCTGCGAGAGCTGCCGCAGCTGGGCATCCAGCTGTGTGAAGCGCCGCGTGATCTGCTCGATGCGGGCGTGCAGGTCGCGGTACTCGCTGTACTCAGCGTTGAAGTCGTTCTTGTAGCTCTGGCGCTGCTCGGAGGAGGAGATGGCCGCGTATTTTCTAAGGAGAGGAAAGAAAGGGGCCATCAGGGCTCAGGGGGCTCCTGAGGAGAGCCACCAATGGCCATCCCAGGACACCCCGGCCACAGCTGTGTCCTGGGATTCACAGAACAAACATGGAGCCAGGGGAGCCTCTGCCAAGCTGAGGAGCTGGGGACACTGGCCCCAGAGAAGCGGAGCCCCTCCCGAGGTACTCACAGCAGATAGTCTGGTGTCTCTGATGTGGACGAGGGCACGCTGGCGCTGCTGCAGGTCCCGTTCAGACCTGCAAGAGGAAGGCACAGCTGCCGGGTATCCGTGCTGCCCGGGGCGGGGCCGGGACAGGCCCATACCGCAGAGGCAGGGCAGAGCGGGTGCTGCGCCGAGGCCACCAGGAGGGTTTGAGGGGAGGGCAGGGCAGGCCAGAGCCCCACAGAGCATGTGCGCCCAGATGCTGCCTCAGGGACACCTACAGTGAGCAGCTGACAGGTCAGGGTGGCTGCGTCACTGTCCCTTTCTGGAGCTGGACAGCACCAGGCCTCTGCTGCTTCTACTGACAGTAGGTTAAAGGTCACTGAGCTGAAACAAATGGTCCCTGCCTGGCCTGGGTCCTGGGGTGTCCTGGTTTTTGGCCACAGACGCAGCCCCGCATCCTGCTCCTCTGACCAGGTGCCGGGCTGCAGCTTGTGCTGGAGAAGCAGGGGCCACCTGCTTGGAGGTCCTGGGGTGGAGCTCAGGGACATGGGATCGACAACATGCGGCCCTTTAGGCAGAAGGGACCTAGTGAAGGCCACGCAGTCCACACTCATACCTGCCGCCAGTGTGCTGCCCTGGCCAAATCACATGACACCCCAAAGCTGCTGGAGACCAGGGAGGGGAGGGAGAAATGCCCTCGCCCCCACCCACACGCTGTGACCAGAATGAGGCTCATTTCCCCGGGGCCCTTTCTCTCCAGAACACGCTCTCCCTTCCCAGTACAGAAATGAGTGTGTCCCTTTGTGGTGTGGAGCGGGAAGGATGAAGTACCGCTCTGCCTGGCAGAGGACCTCCCACTTCTTGGCCCTTTCCGTGGACCTTCGGGGACCCACGCCCTACTCCTGTAAGGCAATGCCGGTGAGAGGAGAGCAGCCTGGGCGTCTGCCAGGACAAGCAAGTTCCCCGAGCCAGGGTCCCAGACGCAGCTGAGGCGCCCACGGCCTGAAGGTGGCCCAGAGCTCGCTCCCTCTGCTCCCCTCAGGCGGGGCTGCAGGGCTGCAGGGCAGCTCTTGGGACAGGCCTGACCTCGGTGTGTATTCACTCCCCTCTGAAAGTCCCCTCCAGGATGGCCACAAGTGGACAGAACAGTCTCCCCAGGGCTCTAAGCTGATATCCCCACCCTGAGCCACGCACGGCCATCCACGCATGCCCATCCTCAGCCCACAGGGCACGAGTTGGACAGCTGTGCCAACATGTGAGGGGTGTGGCCAGCAAGGCATCTCTGCCATGTGTAGCCCATGCTCCTGCCATGCCACGGGCAGCGTGAGCAGGGCCTCCCTGGGCATTCTGGAACAGGTGACTGCCATATGCCAAGCCCAGCTGGCACCAGCTCATTTAACCCTCAAGATTCTCAAATGGGATGACAAGTAGGCAAACCAAGGCTCAGGGCCAGCCTGACCCAGGGCAGGAGGGACCTTGAAGTCTGGCCCTTGCCAAACCCTGTGGCCCCTGTGCCAAGCCCAGGCCCTGGTCATGGCCTGCTGAGCTGCTCTTGCCAGGGGGCTTCTTTGGGAACATGACCCATTCGTTTCTCTCCCATCTCTCCACCGGCTTGTCCTCTGCTCCTGGGTGGGGGCCCTGGGACCTACCCCGCACCCGGACCAACCTGGGCCCTGGAGACAGCGGGCTCTGCGCTGGCATAGCTGCTGGTGCCATGCTGCACTTCCCTTTTAACTGTCTGGCGCTGGGGATGGAAGGAGGGCCTCGGCCTAGCAGCGCTCCAGCCCCCGCTGGCCCCGCCCCCTCCCTGCTACTCGCACGGGGTCTCCCAGGGCCTGGGAGGAGCTGCCCAAGGGCTGACCTGCACCTGGCAGGACCCTGCAGGGCTCCTATTCCTCTGTTCCTGGCAGAGGCCGGGGAGGTGTGGCCTTCCTGGGTGCAGTGGGACAACTCATCAAAGCCACAGTCCCAGGAACCCCCGCCTGGGATCATGCCCAGAGAAACAATGCTGAAGTAGCAACAGGTGGCACAGCCCCGGCTGCCCTGGCCAGCCAGTGTTGGGGAGCAAGGCAGCCACTTCGGATGCCACTGCCCTAGGAGGCCCCACCCCATGTGGCTGCTCAGCGTCCGAATGAGGCTGGCGTGGTGCACTGTGCTAGTCCATGCTATTTTCTACAAATCAGCAGGAACCAGGGGTCACTGAGCTGGACAGGCCACTGCCTGCTCGGCTCAAGTCCCCAGGGCTGTGATCTTGGGCACTAGGTATAGAAGACCTCACTGCCAGCCCTGCCTTTCTGGAGAGCACTGTGCTGGCCCACATCACCCCTCAGTAGCCCAACACTGATTCCCCATCACAAAGTTTCCTCTGTTGGGCCGGGTGTGGCCCAGTGCCTGAGCCCCTGCCCAGCATGCAAGGCCCAGAGGGTCCCCTGCTCAGCACAGGGCCTGGCATGTTTTACCCCCTGGTCCTGTCGCTAGGAACCCGTTTCTGGGTCCCCTAGGGCTTCCCACCCCTGCCAGGAGACCCTGCAATGCCTTCTAAATCCTTCCTGCATGTGCCCAAACCCAGCTCCTCCACAAGCCACACAAGCTGACCACAGCCCAGGTGCTGTCCTCTCCACCCTGGATCTGCTTGGGTGGAGCTGGCTTCCCTGTCCCTCCACTTCCTTCCCTGGGCCCCAGCAGCCCCCAGCACCCCTGCTGTCTCTCAGCAGCCAGAGTCTCCTGCAGCGTGTTCCTCTCCACACTGATCCCCTTCTGTGAGCCCTGCTCCCTGCTGGTCCGTGGCCTGCACACGGGCAGTGAAAGCAGCACCGGGCCTCAGCCCTGGGGGCTCCCCAAACCCCCACACCAAAGGGGCAGACGGAGGAACAGCCGCTAGGACACAGCGGCCACAGGCTGCACGTGCGGGGAGCCTGACAGGGCCTCGCGGGCAGCATGGCCAGCCTCCCTCAGACTCTAGCAGCCTGGACCTTCATGACACCCTTCGAGTGAGGGCGAGTGGGGGCACCCACCTGGGGCATCGGGGGGAGCTCTGTGGGTGGCAGGAGCGTGATCTGGCGGCTGGGTCCGGTGCCTGTCCTCGGCCGCCCTCTCCTTGTCTTTGTGCTTCTTGGACTTCTTCTTGGGCTTGCTGCGGGCAGGGCTGTCGTGGGGCCTGTCGGGCTGGGTGCAGTCCGTCAGCAGGGGGAGACCAAGGTGAGTGGCAGGGCTGGGGGCAGCGGCCTCCCCGCGCTTACTGTCCTGGCCACTGTGGCCCAGGTCATTGCTAACATCGGTCAGGGGGTCATGGGCCCGCGGGGGCTCCAGTCGCGGAGGCAGATGGGCACTGGAGCTGAGGGTGTCCGTGCTAGTCGGCGGCCCTGGGGTGGGCAGGAGGGCCTCGCGGCCATTGGGCACACTCAGTTTCCCGTTGAGGGCAGGCTGGGCTCTCTGGGCGAAGTGCGATATCCTGGGTTTCTTGTTGGCCAGGGGGTCAATGAAATCAGGTGGCTGTGGCCGTTTCTGCCAAGAAAGGGCGATGATTTTACAGGGAGCACGGGAGCCACCAGGCCGCACCAGGCCCAGGGAGACCCAGTGCCTGTAAGGTACCCTCTGGCCACACGGGGGCGCCCAGACCCTGGGTCAGGACTTGGCAGCCAAAGCTCGCCAGCCGGGTGGCCAAGCCTCCAGGCACAGGAGCCTCACGGAGGCAGGCGGACAGGGTGCCAGAAGGGGTCCTCTGGCTCACAGGGGAGACCCACCCCCCACCTGCGCTTCACACCCAGTCAGTCAGCTGCTACCTGAGGGGGCGAGGCTGAGCTGCCATGCTCGCCCGGGGGGCTGGCGGCCACGGGGTCTCCAGGCAGGCTGGTGCTCTGTGGCTGGCACAGCTTGCTGTAAGGAGAAGTGGGGGGAGGGCGGGTCAGAGGACTCGGCAGCGGTGCCGGATGGAGTGACCCCCTGGCCAGGAAGCCCAAGTAGAGGTGCCCCCCAAAACCACTCCAAAAAATGAGAGCTGGGCCGGGTGCAGTGGGGAGTGGAGGAGCCCTGGGAGTGGGGGAACCCAGGGAGTGGGGGAGCCCAGGGAGTAGGGGAGCCCAGGGAGTAGGGGAGCCCGGGGCGGAAGGGAGCAGCCTTAGGGCCTCTGGACCAGCTGGCACAGGAGGACACCCCTTGGTGCCACTGAGGTCTGAGCGTGGCCCCCGAGGCTTCTGTGTGGCGATTGGTCCCCACTGTAAGAGGACGACAGAAACTGAATCTGCCTGCGGCTCCTCAGGTGGCCTCTGGGGAGTGACTAGGGTTAGTTAAGGGCATCAGGATGGAGCCCCCACAACTGAGTCCTGAGTAGATGGGGAGACCAGAAAACAGACACAAACGCACACACCCTTTTTCTCAATATGGGACGGTTTGCACTGCTGCAGGACCTGCCAGCAAAAAGCTGTCACTAGATGCAGGCCCCAACTCCGCACTCCAGAATCATGAGCCAAATTAACCTCCTCTCTAGACAGTTGCCCAGCCTGAGGGATTTTGTTTCAGTGTCCTGCACCCAGAGGAGGTTAGTTCACTGCCTCTTCATTTACATGGAGACGAGGAGCACATAAAAATGACCTGACACTTCGGGTACAAGCTGAGTCTTGCTGGGGACTCCAGCGTTCACAGCACCATCATTCATCACGGGCAAAAGGTGAAAACCACCCAACTGCCCATCAACAGATGCCTGGATCAGCACAGCGTGGTCCAGTCACCTGGCGGAACAGCACCAACACAGGCTACAGCACGGACGAACCTCAAAAGCACGATGCTGAGTGACAAGAGCCTATACAAAAAGCCACACAGCGTGTGCTTCCACTGACATGAAATATTGTGAACAGGCGAATCCACAGGGACAGGACACACATGAGTGGCTGCCAGGGGCTGGGAGAGGTGTGGAAGTGACTGCTGATGGGGATGGGGTTTTTTTTGGGGGGTGATGAGACGGCTCTGGAATAGCAGTGATGGCTGCACAGGTTCGAATGTTCTTTGATCGTTCACATTAGATGGGTGACTTGTGTTACATAAATTGCATTTCAATAAAGTTGTTATTCCTTTGTAATATCCTCGGGGAGAAAAGACAAGAAATAACCTCACTTTCATGAAAAAAGAACATCATGCTGCCAAAAAGCAACAGGAAAAGACTCTTAGAAACTAGAAGTAATGGCAGGACAACAACAGGCTAAGAGAAGCTGAAGAAATCTCCCAAAAGTATGAGAGAAAGAAAAACAGGGAAGACACAGGACCACCCAGCACCACGGCCCCCTAGTGGCAGAATTAGAGAAAGCAGGAGGGAAGGGCAGTGGCGTCTTTTCTGGACCACACATGGGATGGAGGGAACAGGCGCCACCCAGAGCTCCTGCCTGCATGCCTGTGACCTCATGGGTGGATGAGAAAGGGCTGGGTCGGGATGCCTCTGACCAAAGGCCAGGTCTTCAACATGGAGGGAGAGCGCTTTTGGCTCTGAAAGTCTAGTCTTGGCCATCGGCTGACACTAAGTAGGACTATTGCTGGGGTGTGAAGAGGGGCAGATGGGTGGCCTCCTGAGCCCTTTCCTGAGTCAGAAATCCCAGAAACTGTGTTCCCTCCACCCCAGGGAGGAGCAGGGGGCAGCTGCGGGGCCAGGGATGGGGCTCTGGGTGAGAGAGGAGCACCTGGACTGGGGTGAGGCCCCTAGCACTGGGTGGTTCTGGTGGAGTCGGTTCCTGAGGGCATGTGCAGGTCTCCGGACCTCCCAAAAGGGACAAGAGGCCCGGGGAGTGGACAACCAAAAATGGCTCGAGCTGCTGGACTCAGAAGAGGGTGCAGACAACCGACAGTGCAGCCGAGGCATGGCGCAGGGCTCTGCTGCGGGCCACCTGTAGTGAGCTGGTCCCCACACCCTGCCTGTTTTGTGACCTGCACAGGCCTAGCCTTCCCTGTAACAAAGGAAACACTCCGAGCTCCTGTCTTCACTTCTGGTCTAAGTGAGGCCTTGACATCGAACACTGCCTCTGTGGGGCGTCTCTGCACAGCCACAGGCTGGGACACTGACGCTCGCTCTTCCCATACACCAGTGGCCACCGATCCACAGCCAGCCCCCATCGAGGTGAGCAGGGTGGCTGGGGCAGGCATGCTGTGACACCCTGCCTGACGCCCAGATGCTGCTTTCCACTGACCCACACAGGCCTGGGGCTCGCTCCCCGCAGCTCCCCTGCCTGGGTTGGGACAAACCAGCAGGCACGGAACCCCTGGGGTGCAAGCACCGCCGGAGGGGGCCCCAAAGGAGGGGCAGGCTGGGTGCAGCCTTGCACTTCCAAGCACACGGGTCAATGTCATTGATGGTACAATGTTCGGTCCTTTGCCTAAGTGTGTGGCGGGTGGAAACAGCTGGAGGAAGGAGGATACAGTGCTGCCCGGGGACAAGGTTGGTTGGAGTAGCAGGGGACCTCCCAGGTGTGGACGGTGGCGGGAGGGCTTCTGCCAAGACTATGTCCTCTGCCAGCCTCTTCTGAGCACCCAGGACCCACCACAGGATACTTGGGCTCCAGGTGGCCAGCTCACCCGAGGACCACGACCAGCTCCAGGAAGGGACACCGCAGGGGCGAGGAGGGGAAGCGCTGCCGCTGCTCTCTGGGGTTCACGTGGAGTGACCCCCAACCCCCTCGGCTTTCTAGACACAATGACTGCTTCAAACAGCCACATTTAAAAAAACACCTAAAAACGCCAAACTCACAGACAGCTCAGGTCTAATCAGCACACAGGCCTGCAGAAGCCCTGCAGGGGACAGCTGCCCGCCTCCTCAGCCCCTCAGCCCCGGCTCCCCAGGGCCCACTGCTCCTGACCCTAGGGCCCAATTAGTCAGAAAGGGGATGTGTTTAATTAACGCTGCTTAATCACATCTGCAGGGAGCACGCTTTGCCTCATTTCTCTCAGCTTGGGGTTCTTGAGAGGTTCAGCAGTGGCCTCAGGGGACGCTGGCTGCTGAAGGAGCCGGGAGGGAAATGGGGGGACAGTCACAGCTGATCTGATCCGGGCACACTGAGGCCTTTGGTTTGAGGACTCCTTGGCTGGGGCGACGTGACTTACACCCCCACCCAGGGTGCTACCTCCCCCACCAACCAGCAGGAGGCTGTGGGACTGCGGGCAGCAGGGAGGACAGTCGGGAAGGTGCCCAGGAGATTCTGTCCTGAGCCACTGGCCTTCGGGACCATGAGAAGTCGTCCCAGATCTCTGGGAGGTGCCGGGGAGGGGTCGGGAGGAAGCATTACCGGACAAGCATTCGTTTCAGCAGCTGCTGGTCCCCCTCTGAGTAGCCAGGCCAGTCCTTCTGCACGTCCTTGTACATGCAGTCCCTCAGCGTGCATGTGCCGTCCTTGGCATTCACATTGGCCACCTGCAACACAGAGCCAGCCGTCACCGTGCAGGGAGCCTGGGAGGCAGGCCCTACGGAACACATGCATCGGGGTGTGCAGAGACAGAGGGAGGCAGACAGAGCGGAGAGAGAACATGGCGGCCCCCTCTGCCTGTGCCACCCGCTACTCCCAGCTCCCCTAGACCTTTAGGCACATAAGGGACAAGGGGGGGTGAGGGCGTGAGGTCCAGATTTACTCATCTCACAGATGCTGGGGGCCAGGCTGGCTCCAAAAAGGAAGCACCACCATCTACACTCGTGAGCTTCCGGGACCCAACGCCAGCCCGTCCCCTTCCCTTTCAGATTGTGGCTCCCGGAGCAGAGCCAGCCTAAGCTCAGGTGCCCACCCCAGGCCAGGGCTAAGCCACCCTGCCAGCAGCCTTCTGCCTTCAGCTGTTCTCCTGGGCTATGGCCGCATCCCGCAAGGGCTCGAGTCCCAGCGTTTCCGCAGGCAAGGCCGCTGCACTCCAGGGACAGCAGCTCGGGTGGCCGTGTTCTCAAGAGATGCGGGGTCAGGAGTATGGGCGCGCAGGCGGTCTCCTGGGACTACCTCCCTAGGTTGAGGGCTGAGGGAAGCACTTGACCACAGGTCCCCAGTACCTGTGTTCTGAGTCGTCCACACAGCAGGGCCTCAGAGGCCCCTCCTCCCCTCCCTGCCTTCATGCGGCACCTTCAAGACACCCCTGAAGCCCAGCCTTTCACAGATGTCGCCCTCAGTTCCACATAAGGAGTAGGGACTGGGTGGGTGGCAGCCAGGCCAACATCCTCCTGAGGCCGCACTCTGAGGTCCCCACCGGCCTCGGGCTGCACCAGAGACAATGAACGTGGCAAATATGGAAATGCACCCTCAGATCCAGCTGCCATGTCACCGCATAGCACGATGTGTGCTCCCTGCTATGGGAGGCCCCACCTGTGTTCCCAGCTGCAGGGGGACTGGGCAAGCTGGTGGGTGACACCCTCGACATCCTGCTGCGACCCACTGAGACAAGAGGCCCGGCCACACCTCCATGGCAGCACTCCTGGGCAGAACACCCCCCACCTCAGGCCTGGCTCAGGGCTGGAAGCCAGCTCAGGAGTGCTCGGCTTCCCAGGGGCCTGGGGGGCCTGGGGAGCCAGGGTGGAGCCTCGGGAATGTGTGGGGAGTGCTGGTGAGAGGGGTGGCAGCAAGGGGGTTTGTCTGCGGTGCTGGGGGTGGCACCCAGGGCCTCCCTCCCGTAGGCTAGGCGAGCGCTCCTCGGCTGAGCTCCACCCGAGTCCTTTTTTAAAGTTTCATTTTGGGCAGCCTCAGCAGCAGCTCCGCCTTCCGGTAGGGCCTCAGGGCCAGGAGGTTGCTCAGGCTGGCCTCAAACTTTCCATCCTCCTGCATCATCCCCCGAGTCCCTGGGACGACAGTGAGCACAGCACTACTGGCTCAGTGTGCTGCTAACAGCAGGATCCACCTGCCACCACCGCCTTCGCTGGCTCCCCTCCTTCTCTTCGAGAGAGACGGAGCTGGCACTCCTGTCAGGTGAGGACCTGTCGGGTGAGGACCAGGGGTCCCAGGTACAAAGCCCCTTGCCTAGGCTCACAGCTGTTGAGTGGCAGGGAGCTGTCCACAGGCCACCTGCCTGCTGAGCCCGAGTTCTATGCTGCGAGGCCCCAGGCTTCAGATCTACTGTCCCCGCAACAGCAGACGTGGCTGCTTGGTCCTGGCCTTGCAGCTGCCCGTCAGCCAACACACAGGAGGCACGTCCCCCAGGTTAAGTGTGTTCTAAGCCAGGAGGCCCAGGAGGGCCCTTCTCAGACGGCCCCATGAGACACCTACTGCAGAAGCCACTGTGGTGCATGGCCTCAGGGTGGGTGGGCTGTGCGGCCCCTCCCCCAGTGCCCACCTGCTGGAGCAGGCCATCCAGCGAGTCCTTGTCTGCCTGCGCCAGGCCGTCCTTCTGTAGCCTCAGCAGCAGCTCGGCCTTCCGGTAGGGCCTCAGGGCCAGGAGGTGCAGCACTCGGTCACGGAAAGGCCTCTGGGACACCCCGCTGGCCCCACTTACACCACTCTTCCTGATAGCACTTGCCAGGTTGATGGGGGTGGCACGCTTCCGGGAAGGCACTGCATCTGTCGCCCCTGGGGCTGGCTTCCGGAAGTGAACCTTTTTGCCTGCAACGACAGCCGGGGGAATTAGGGAAAGAGGGAGGGGGCGGCCCGTGGTGCACCCTGTGCTGGCACAGGGACTGGGAAGACAGCGGTCTGAAGCCCACACCAAGCCAAAGCTGAGCACTGGGCGGCCAAGAGTGCCACCTGCTGCCCAGCCAGCCAGCCTGTCACCTCAGGGTCCCCAGCCTCAGAGTGGGAGGTGCAGGACACAGAGGTGCTCAAGTCCTCAACTAATTATATCAGTGTGACCTGAGTCCTAGAAACTGGAGACTTGGCCACCCTGGGGGTTGAGGGCATCCATGAACCCTTTAGGTATAATAAAATGGGGGTCCCTGAACTAAAGACAGGTACCCCTGGAGTCTGGATCTCACAGTCCTATACCAGCCCCACAGCTGTACCCCCCCCCCTTTTTTTTTTTTTAATAAACAGGAATAGGTGTCAGGGCCACTTCAGACAGCTGCTGCACAGACCCCAGAGGGCATGCAGGTCCCCAGCCATGGGTCCCAGTAAGTGCTTCTCTGGCAAGCGTGGCTGTGCTTGGGGTCTTGGGGACACTGAGTTTGCCCTCAGTCCCAGAGGGAACAGAGACAGAACAGGGTCTAGCATACCACAACTCTGTGTGACCTCCATTCAGAAGTCATTCACCCTGTCCTCAACACTGCCCTGGCCTCCTGCAGAAGGCACCCAGCCAGGCAAGCTCAGCAGCAAATCTTGAGGACTTTGGCCACAAAGCTCTTCATGAGGACATCCTTTTCTTTGGTACTAGGGATTGAACCCAGGGGTGCTCTACCACTAAGCCATATCCCCAGCACTTTTTAGTTTTGTTCTGAGACAGGGTTTAACTAAGTTGCCTGGGTTGGCCTCAAACTCGATCTTGCTGCCTCAGCCTCCCGAGTTGCCAGGGTTACAGGTGTGCTCCACCATGCCTGGCAAGAGGATTTCCTTTTTATCTTGTCACTCAAACTATGATTTGTGACAAGAAAACAGAATTATTTTAGAATCCCTAGGGCCAGCCGCTCACACCTCTGGGGTTTGTTCAATGAGGTCCAGAGAGCAGGGCTGGCCCCTGTCTTCACAGGCTGAGAGGAAGTCATGGGCCAGGGGTCAGGGAGGCCTGACACTAAAACACTCGGGGCCAGAGCCAGGACATGCATGTTTACTCTTCACGAAGACTGTTTCCGTGAGAATGTCAACTGCTTCAGAACCATCACTGTGCCCGGTGTGGCATGATGAGAAAGTTTTTAACCAACACTTTAGCCAAAGGACCCGTGAATTTATTAATGTGTGTGGACATTCAAGTTTCTACCTTGAAGCAAGAGTAGGTGGGTAAAGCACCCCACTGCTCTTTCCCAGGAGACACTGCCAGGTGGCTCATAGCCCAGTACCTGCTGCAGGGGGCGGGCAGGGATTTCTGGCGGTGGAGCACACCCACTCTCCCAGCACTGGCCAGGACCAGCCCCTGCAGTGACCGCTGAGGATGCATCCAGAGAGAGGTCTTTGGGGAGGAGGATGAATGTGAAATCTTCCCATGTTTTCTTTTTATTTACATTTTCTTTTAGTGATCAATATACCTTTATTTTATTTACACATTTTTATGTGGTGTGAGGATGGAACCCAGTGCCTCCCATGTGCTAGGCAAGCGCTCCACCACTGAGCCACGACCCAGCCCCCCATCCCGTGTTTTCTTATAAAAGAATGAACCAAAAGACCTTGGAGGTTCTCTTGCTTTCAGCTGCTCACCTCCCCGGCCCAGAGCCTGGAGCAACCAGTGCCCCAATCCTAAACTCCTCAACCCCGGGGGGAGGGGCGGGGCGGGGCAGGGCAGGGGTGGGGGCGGGCAAGGGGCTCTCTAAAGACACTGCCTTACTCCCCTCTGGATGCTTATTGGTTTTTCCACTTTTTTTTTAATATTTATTTTTTTAGTTACAGGTGGACACAGTATCTTCATTTTATTTTCATGTGGGGCTGAGGCTTGAACCCAGTGCCTCAGTATGCAAGGCCAGCACTCTCCCTCTGAGCCACAATCCCAGCCTTGGTTTTTCGACTTTTTCTGCAGAGCCCATTCGTTTCCCTGAGGTGGAGGTCCCCAAGGTCCCCAAGCTAAACCTATGAGGAAAGCCCACCAATTCAGATCAGAGCTCCTAGAGATCCTGGGCCCCTGTGTGTACTTTGGGGTTCACAAGACAGCAGCTGCTACAACTCGGGTGCCACCGCCAAGGTGGCTGGAACTTGCCTTCTGACCTGGTTGCTGGTGTGGGCATCTAGTCCTGCTCAGGGACTGACCCCTGTGCCGACCCACCCACCACTTCTGGATAGAAACAGCCAGCGCCTGGCCTGGACCAGCCTGCTGCTGCCCCAGGCCCGGGCCTCGCCCCACTGCTCACCCAGGTAGCGGCCTCCAGGCTTGATGACGATGGCCCCACGGCTCCGAGTCTCTTCCTCCGCCTGCGCCATGCTCTCACGGGCCTTCTGATAGGAGTCGTCAGTGGCGCACACTGTGACCTTGTCCTGGATGCTGCCCAGGCAGTCCAGGTGGACGTCCCCATGGCTGAAAGACACAGGGCCAGGGAGACGTGGTCATGCCCTGCCTCACACCCACCTGGACGTGGGGCTCAGTCCCCTCCGACTCGGGCAACACTGCTCAACAGAACATGTCCCAACCTGGCCAGAGGCCACAGCCAAGGCCTAGCACCCGGTCTGGGGGTCCCCAGGGCAGGGGCGCCTCACCTGGAGACGTACTGCTGGATGCAGTCGAAGCTGCCCTGGGGGCTGTCCCGGCCGATGTTGGAGAGGTAGAAGGAGAATGTCCGCGCCTCCTCGGGGCAGTCAGGCTGAGGGATGGAGATGTGCTGCGCACAGAGGGGGGGTCACTGGGAGGCCCGCTACAAGGAGGGGCCCGCAGCTCCACCAGGCCCAGCTGCCCCCCGCAAGTTGCCGCCACTCAACCCTCACCACAGGAACTCCAGCAGCTTCCTCTAAAACACACCTCTGCCATTCCTGGCAGTGACAGGACAGAGGCTGTCCCCACCTTCTGCCCTCAACAATGGTCAGGGAGGGGCCTCGGGCTCCTGTGTGGGTGTCCCTGTCTCGAGTTTTAGTAGCAGTGGCACCGTGAACACTGAGTGCTCAGCACCTACCCAGAGGCAGCGTCTCCACCCTGCTCATCTGGCTCTGGGGAGGTGGCTTGCCCGGGAAGTGACTCAGTTTGCACACCCAGCAAATGGAGCGACCTGGCCTGGGCCCCAGGAAGGTGAAATGCGGTAGGACTGGCACCAGCAGACCCTCAGAATCTGCCCACTTGGCTCCCAGACTCCAAGTGCACTCACTGTCCTGTGGCTGCAGATAAAGAGGAGTGGGCCCTGAGAAGCTTAAAGATGGGCAGCACTGGACCCCCATATCTAGGTAACATGTGACATGGTTCACATGTGCCACAGTCCACGTAAGCCTGGCTGCAGACCATGAGTCCAGCCCAGCATGAAGCCACAACAGCCGAGCAGCCGTCCTAGTTCCAGCACAGACACTGGCTCCCCGCAGGACAGCATCACCACGCCCCTGCCTCCAGCCCACCCAGGCCGGGGGAAGGCCCGGGGCTGCTGAGGAGGGAGGGAGGAGAGAGGAAGGTCTCGCAGAGCCCTGGCCACCAGGGGTGACTCTTCCGAAACTCACCCCTGGGTTTGAGCACAAGTTCCTCACAGCTAATCAGACACACAGATGGGGACATGAATGGTCAGTGAGGAGGGGGCAGCTGGGGTGGGGAGCAGGCCTCATCTCCAAGCAGCCACATGTGCCCAGGGGCAGCTTAATCTGTCTGCACTCCGGCCTCGGGAGCCACAAGAACACAGCTCCTGAGTCACCAGGCCACACAGAGAGACGCCCACCCTGCCACCTGCTGCATGGCCTCTGCTGGGATGTGGCTCTCAGAGTGGTGTGCAGGGACACAGGGAGCCACAGAAGCACCGAGCCTGGGATCATCCTGAAACACTACAAGCCCCACGCAGCCCAAGCCAAGGCCCTGCCCTGAACCAGAACAGCTGCCCCGCCATCCGGGTCCGCAGACCCTCCTGCCCCTCGCACAGGCTGAACCTGCTCCAGAGGAAGGATCATCCCATCTGCCCTGCCCCGCCCAGCCCCAGGGCCTACCAAACACCCCTCTATGCACCTCCACCCCACGTACCCCTGCAGGGAAGGAGCCTATGTCCCTGTTGTGCTCACCACAGGCTGCACCTAGGCATGCACCCTAAGACCTCAAGGTGCTGTGCCGGGTTGGCCTCCACCACTTGTGTTTGTCTGAATACTAACATGTTTTTATTAGGTTCAGAGAGGGATGGGGTGGCTTGCACTTGGCGAGAATCAACCCAACTGCCTGTGACTCATCTCAGGATGCACGCGTGCTCTCACACACACACACACATTCACACACTCTTTCTCTTCCCCTCCTTAGCCTTGGCCAGAGCCGTGAGGGTGACCCTGCCCATCCAGCCTGTCCTGTCTGGACACCGCTGTGGCACCTCCTCACCCAGGTAGGCACTGCTTCCTGCCGACACATCCCTCTCAGTGGCAGAGTGACTGGGAACGCCCCACTCACTGTAGCAACAGAGCAAACGTGACCTGGCGGGCCAGCGCATGGCAGGCGAGGGAGCCTAGGACTGCGACATCTGGGGACTCCAAAGGGACCTGATCCAGCTGAGCCAGGGATGGGCGGGCCCCCTCGGCCCATCAGTCCGCTAAGCCCCCGGGCACACGTGGTCCAGACTCTAGCTGACACTGAGGCTCCCCTGATTCAAGTCCCAAGCTGCCTGTGGCTCTTGCCCTGGATGAGCGGCAGCTGGGGGCCCTATATGCAGCCCTGTTCAGGGCAAATTTGGACCCCACCTGATTCCAGTGAAGAAACTGGATTGGCAGGGAGCTGGGGCCAGACCAGGGCTGGTCACACAGAGAAGGTGAGCCTGGCACTTGAGGCCCCGCCCACCCACACTGCCACATCAGCAAGCAGGGCAGTGTGGGCCTGGTCAGCACCCCGAGGACCCTACCGGAGCCTTCCCAGGGTCTGGTGTGAGGGAAACATGGGGTGACAGAGGGTGACATGAAAGTGCATCCCTTTAGGTAAGAGGCTTAGGGCATGGAAATGACAGTGGGAGACTGATGCTGGGAGACCTTCATGCTCTGGTGACAACAGGAAGGCACAAGAGGGCGCCTGTGGCCAGTGTTTCAGGCAGGAGTTGGTTGTTGGTGAAGGTTTTGCCAACCAGGGCGCTCCAGTCCCAGCCCGGGGTTCAGAGGCACTGCCACACTCTGCTACCCGAGGAATGGGCTGAGCACTGCTGGCTAGTGGCCGCCAGCCGCGGGAGGAGCAGGAACCTTAGCTGGGAGACAGCAGGGCAGGGACGCAGGCACAGCCTGTGTCAGCCGAGCAATCGCCCCTGCTCTTGACCAGAGCCCACAGCGCGGCCACCACTCGGCGGCTTTGTGACTGCTGGATGAGGTCTCAGCTGCCCTTTTCAGGCTACTGTCAAGTCCCAGTGACCAATGTGCTTAGGGTCTCCCAGGGGCCGTCAGGGGAGGACTGCAGGGCTGCCATGTCTGATGCCAGCCCCGACTCCAGGTTATTTGGGGTTCGGGGCATCCAAGGTCTCCAGTCTCCAGCCTTTGCTGCTGGTCTGACCCATGGCCACCAGGGGGCTCTGGTCCCACCTCAGACCAGGTCTCAGCTAGAATCCTTCCAGCATGTCCCTCTGCAACCTATGCCCCAGGTGAGCTCTGCAAGGTCTCTGCTGCAGGGTGTGTGTGTGGGTGTGGGGGGGGGGGGGGGGGGGGGGTGAGAGGTAAATTAAGTCCTGGTGTCAGGGAGGACAGTGAAGGAGTGGGGAAAATCCCTCAATATTCTGCTCGGTTAAAACCAAACTGGCCAGACACGGTAGCACACGCCTGTAATCCCAGCAACTCGGGAGGCTGAGGCAGGAGGATTGCAAGTTCAAAGCCAGCCTCAGCAGGTTAGAGAGGCACTGGCAACTCAGCGAAACCTTGTTTCTAAATAAAATGTAAAAAAGGGCTGGGGATGTGGCTCAGTGGTTAAACAACCTTGGGTTCAATCCCTGGTACCAAAAAAAAAAAAAAAATACACACACACATACATCAACACAAACTGTCAGGCATACACCTGTGATCCCAGCAATTTGGGAGGCTGAAGTAAGAGGATTGCAAATTTGAGACCAGCCTGGGCAACTTAGTGAGACCCTGTCTCAAAAAAGTCCTGGGATTCAGTTCAGTGATACAGAACTTGCCTCACATGTTCAAGGCCCTGTGTTTCATCCCTAGCACTGAAAAAAAAAAAAAAAAAAAAGAAAGAAAGAAAAAGAAAAAAGAAAAGAAAAGAAAATCTTTAAACTTAAAGAATTAAAACAGGAAGGGCTGGGGCTGGGACTCAGTGGCAGAGTGCTTGCCTGTCATGTGTGGGGCACTGGGTTCGATCCTCAGCACCACATACAAAAAAAAAAAAAAAAGCAAATAAAGTCATGCTGTCCACCTACAACTACAAAAATAAATAAAGAAAGAATAAAAACAGAGGGCTGGGGATTTAGCTCAGTGGCAGAGCGCTTGCCTAGCACTGAGTTTGGTCCTCAGTCTTGAAAAGGAATTAAAAAAAAGGGGAGAGAATAAAAACAGGTGGCAGTGTGGGTCCAGGTGTGTCCATGTAACACATGCAGGGACCTAGACTCTGACCAAGCAGGTTCTCTCCAGCCAGAGGGCTGCTCAGGTAGCGTTTGTGTTCTTCATTTTGTTCAGTTCCCAGTGAACTCGCAGAGTAGAAGCACATTATGCTTTCTGAAGAGAGTGACTCGAGTGGCTGACCATGATGTCCAGGAGCAAGCAGCCTCTGCCACCCAGTGAAGGGTCTTGCTTCCTCCTCACACCCAGGTGTTTTCTAAGTTACAGGTTGTGTCCACCTGAGGTTTCCAGGCTGCTTGGTCTCTGCATAAGGATGCTCCTAATTCTGAGACCCCCTTATTATTATTACTTTTTGGTACCAGAGATTGAACCCAGGGGTCCTTTACACTGAGCCACATCTCCAGTCCTTTTTATCTTTTATTTTAAGGCAGGGTCTTGCTAAGTTGCTTACAGACTTGCTTACTTGCTGAGGCTGGTCTTGAATTTGTAATCCTCCTGCCTCAGCCTCCCGAGTGGCCAGTATTACAGGCGTGCGCCAGTATACCTGGCTATCCCCTGATTTTCCTTCCTTCCTTCCTTCCTTCCTTCCTTCCTTCCTTCCTTCCTCCCTCTCTCCCTCTCCCTCTCCCCTTCTTTCTTTCTTTTAGTTGTAGTTGGACACAATATCTTTATTTATTTATTTTTATGCAGTGCTGAGGATCAAACCCAGGACCTCCCACATGCTAGGCAAGTGCTCTACCACTGAGGCACAACCCCAGCCCCTATCCCCTGATTTTTTTTAGGGCATTTCTAAGTTGAGGGACCAGAGCCCCCTCAACAAAGCATCAAGCATGCCTGTGGCTAAACCCTTGGACACAACACTAATATTACTCCTGTAGAATCCACTCTTAGGCACACGGACACGGTCAGAGGCCTCAGACAAGTGCTGTAGACCTTCTAGAGACCTTTGTCCAGACCCCACTGCTGCACACAGTCCTAGCATCTGGAACAGCCCTGCTGTTTGAAAACAACTACTACTTTTCTTTCTTGTTTCATCAACTGGGATTTTGCTGATAAGTTCTGGAGGTGGGGCCAGCCAGGTGGGGTTTCATTTCCCCTTGGAGTTAAAAGCTTACAAGTGCTCCCCAGACAGCCACAGCCATGGTGTCACGAGAGGGCAGAAAGCCCAAGGGCACACGAGCAAAAAGCAAGTGCAGCAAAGTATGTGACTCCAGAGGCCACATGTGCCACAGGTGGCCCTGCTCTCAGGGAATCTGGCTCCACAGAATCTGTTGGCTCTGCTTGTCAGCTTCCTGGGGGCCTGTCTCTCATGGCACTTACTATAGTGGTGAGGTGGGCCACTGTGTACTCAGACTAGGAGGAGATGCACACCAGTGGCTGAGCTTGTCCTGGGCCACAGGGAGGACACTGTTCTACTGACATCAAGTTCAACCTGCAAACACCCTTTCTGGTGGACAGCCTCTCCCACATTGTGTGGACTGGGAGAACGAGGGATGGAGGGAAGAATGTCCTATTGCTCAGGAGGTCAGGATGGCTCTGAACACCAGGGGGCACTGTGGAGCCAAGTAAGCACAAGTCAAGGCCAGCTGCGCCTTGACACTGACCTCTGACCCCCGGGGAAGGTAATGGGGAGGTGGCCAAAAGGTAGTCACAGATTCAGGAATCCCACCATCCACTGCACTCCAGTTCAGGTGGATGACAGAGGTATCTATAAATGTAGCTATCATCTACAACCAATTGGGTGGAAGTAGGTAAAGATGACCCACAGGTCTGAGTGGCCCTGCCCAACAGCTGAAGGCCTTAAGGGGGAACTGAGGATTTCCGGAGGAGAGAGACGCTTCCAGGGCAGCCTGGGGCCTCTGACCTGCCTTAGGGGCTGCAGCCTTTCAGGAGCTGCAGAGACTTCCTTACTATGGATCCTTTCACACCTGGTCACACAGGCACTTGAAGATACACACTGCAGCACCCAGGGGCTCTGGAAAGTCCGCTGACCATCTCGTCCACCCTCCTGCTGTGAGAAGCCCCAGGTGGGAGGAAGAGTGGGTACAACATGGCAACTTCAAACACACACACGCACACATGCAATCCCAATGGCTCGGGAAGCTGAAGCAGGAGAATCCCAAGTTCAAAGCCAGCCTCAGCAACTCAGCAAGGCACTAAGCAACTCAGGGAGACCCTGTCTCTAAATAAAATACAAAATGGGGCTGGGGATGTGGCTCAGTGGCAATGGCTTCAGGAAGGGGGCCTTCTGAGGAGAGCTGCCCTCTGCCCAGCAACAAGCTGCCATGGGCACTGGGAGCCTGGCTGAGGTGGCCGTGGGCCTAGGGCCACCCAGAGGACCTCAACTGGACACAGGCCAGGCTGACAGGCCCAGGGCCCCAACCTGGCACAGCAGTGGACCGGGCCAAAACGCTGCCTGCCCTGAGCCTGCTCCGTGCCCTGAAGCAAGCGCAGGCTGAAGGCGGCGGAGCTCCCTTGAGCGCAAATAGATTAAGGCAAAAAGACTTACCCCTTGGCTTCCTTGAAATCGGATTGATGGTCTCAGTGAAAGAGAATCCTGCAAAAAAAGAGGAGTGGGTGTCAATAAAGACCTTTAGAAATGTGGACTCAAGTTTCCATTATGAAGGAGCAGGACCTCAAGGACAGTGATTTTAGGAAAGGTGAAAGAAAACACGCTCGAGTGTGGAAATTGCAGGGCAGGCCACCAGAAGCGGGGGTTTGGAATGGTCAGCAGGAGCTCTCGCAGTGGACACGGCCAGGGCCAAGGGGGGGAACCAGGAGCTTCACAGGCAGGCAACAGGGAGAGGCTGGCAGCAGGCCCAGGACTCCAGACTCAAGAATGTGTTCCATGTCCTCAGAGGCCATTGTTGGCCTGTGGCTCCCATGGGGAGAGAGAAGGGAAGCAGGGCTCAGGTGTCCGTGGCCCCACAGTCCTACCGGGAAACAGAGAGGACAGGATGCAGCGACCCAGATCACACAAACTCCCTGAGCCCCTGCATGTGTGGAGACGCCCCTTCTCCATTCTCACAGTCCCCGTTAGTCCCCAGGAAGCCCTAAACTGGCTGAGTCCCGCCTAAATACGCCCTTCAGGTGGAACCCGGAGCGCAGCAGCCAGGATCCCTCATCTGTCCAGCGCCCCAGCACAGTTTCTGAGCCGTCTATCACCTGCTTGGGACATCATAATTTCTAAAGGAAAAAACTATACTAAAAACCTAGAAGCATTAGCTCCCCAGAGATCAGACATCTGGTGGCACTGCGGAGAGAACGTGGGCCCTGAGCAGGCACCCTCCGAGTCCCAGAGCCATCCGTGGAGGGTTAGGACTGGTCACCTTGACCCCCAGCCCCCAATGCCCCCCTGCACCTGCCCATCCCCTCAAGGTCCAGAACCGTCTTCCTGCACAAGACACCCACCCAGGCCCACTGGTGTCCCCTGCTCTCCTCTCCTTGGCACTCTGGCCTCCCCACTCAGACCCTGGTTCCAGCTCCACTGGTCAGAGGTCTTCCCAGCAAGCAAAGCTCCACTGTGTCTGCAGGGGCTTCCTGCCGATCCCGCCCTCTGCAGAGCAGACCAGGGGCTAGTGGAGAGAGAACCCACCTGTGCTCCAGGGGACAGAAGCAGACAACACCACCCCCCAGGTCAGTTCTGAGTCTGCCCTTTGGAACTCAGGTCCGCAGCTGGAGGCCATGGCCGAGGCTCCCCCTTTGCACAGGGAGGCATGCTAACAGCCTGGGGTACAGGGTGCAGAGAACAAGAACCAGAGCCCAGGCCCAGCACTGGGCATGAAAGGAGGTACCACAAGCAGGGACAGGGCGGAATGTGAGGGGACTGGCTTCACTAGCTCTACGATGGCCTTGAGCTAAGAGGGTCACTTGGCCAGCTGAGACCCTATGGCCATGCATGGCGCCCAGGGAGAGGCTCCAAGGGCCCCCTCCTGTGTGGGTCCTGCGATCCAGACACTACAGGCACAAACATCACGGTGCTGCAGATGCAGGGCAGCTCAGAAAGGGCTGACCCTGGCCCACAATCCACAGCCTGACCACCACCCGGGTGGCAAGGCACTTGGGGATATGCAGCACCTAGCAGGGACCACAGCTGGACTGGGCCCTCAGGAGTGCAGCATTCAGTGACCATGGCTTGGAATTCAGTTGTGGACGGGCCTGAAGAAGAAGACCTACAGGGGTCCACAGATGCGTGGGAAGACGTGGGGTGCCCTGACTCCTCAGGGAATGCAAACCCTAACCGCAGGGAGGTCCCTGGATGCACCCAGCCAGCCAGCTAAGACCAAAGAGGTGGATAACACCGAATGCTGGTGGGGACAAGTGAATCCAGAAGTATCCAGAACCCTTGCCAGCTGCTAGTGCCAACGAACAAAGTGCAGCTGGGATGGAGACAGGTCTGGCAGGTGTTTTTCTCCCCCCTGGCACTGGGCATGGAACCCAGTGCCTGGAGCATGCTAGGAAAGCGCTCTACCCCTGAGCCCCACACCCAGGCCCTGGAAAGGCTGGGGAAGGTTACATCCGCAGCATTCCCGCTCCTGGGAAGACCCAAGAGAAGTGAATGCTCTTCTTAATGAAAACTTACACCTGAACATCCCCAGTAGTCTCCTACAGTATCCAAAAAGGGACAACAACCCAAATGTCTGTCAACTCACGGAGAGACCCACACGGCAGAATATTCCCAGCAATACAAAAAACAGACTGCCACGGACACGCACAGAAGAACCTCAGCACCAGCCAGGTGGCAGAGATCCACAAATTCCCAGAACAGGCAGAACTGGAGACACCAAGCAGGTCAACACGTTTCCAGGGCCAAGGAGCGGAGCAGGAGGGGGTCACACTGGGGCTTGCGGGTGGCCAGACACTGACAATGCGAGTGCTTCATGGGACGCACGCTATATACCTCTGTGATGCCGCTGGCTGCCCTCTTGACTTACACGGGGTCTTTGCCAACCTGGGGGCTTTGGAGTGACATTCTCTGGACACACGTAGGCCATTCATGTTGGGACTGAACCAGAGTGCCACACATGCCCAGCTCACACTCCGACACTCAGCTACGTCCACGGGCTCCATTCACCATTTTTTTTTAATATTTATTTTGTAGTTACAGGTGGACACAATATTTTACATTTATGTGGTGCTGAGGATGGAACCCAGTGCCTCGCACGCGCTAGGCGAGCACTCCACCACTGAGCCACGGCCCTGCCTCGTTCACCATTTTTAACACACAAGTGAGATGAAGCGGGTGAAAGGAAACCAGCGAAAACATAAGATCCACACAGAACAAAGGAGCCCCCACAGCAGAGTGACCCTGCCTGTCGTCACTTCCAAAGACCTCTGTGACACTGAAGCATCAGCCCTCACGGGCCAGGGAGTGTGAGACTGAGACCAGAATCAGGGAAGGGCTCCTGGTGAGAAGCCAGGGGGTACACCCTGGAGTGGGGTCTGGGGATGCTGAGGTGGCACAGAGCAGGTGGGGAGCGGCCCCCAAGCCTCCACAGGCCCACATTACTCCAGCACCATCATCTACTGCTCACTCCATGCCAAGACCTCTGTGGGATGACCATGTGACAGAGACAGGGCCACAATGTGGCACAGGAGCCAGGAAGGTGCACCATCCTAGGACTGTGCTGGGGGTCTGGTGGTGGGGCCACCGATGACAGCACCCTCAACTGGTTCGGCTCTCCCACCATCCCCGCCATCAGTGAAGCACTCACCGCCTTCTGTAGCTGATGCCAACCAGGTTGTCTGGATGACTCTTCCTCCAAAGTCGTTCACTCCCCAAGGGTATTCCCAGGAAGAGGACTCAGCAGTCAAGAGCCCAGCCTTTCTCTGCAACACTGGGACAGCCAACCTCAAGTGCCTGTCCCCACGTGACCTGGCTGTCAACACAGATCTGGGCTCCTGGCCATGTGAGCTTGTGTAGTGTCTCCTCCCTCCAGCAAACGAGGCCCTTCTTGTCAACAACAGAGCATTTCACTAGGACCGTCTCTTACACACACACACACACACACGGGGACAACACTCTGCATACCACCTGTCCAGCCATTCACAAAAATGGGCATCCAAACCAATATCCGACTAAGTCACAGTCCCTGTGCAGGCTGGCAGACAGGGCACCTGCTTCCCAAGACACAGAATAAAGGGAGGAGCACTGCTCGCTGTTCCCAAATGTGCCTGATGATGACAGTTGTATTATAATGGCACTTAGCCCATGTGTCCAACAGGTGACAACCAGTCAGATTAACCAGTGTCAGGGAACATGTGTGACAAAGGGCAAGCCCTGTCTCCTGGCACCAGAGCTGCCCCTCCAGGCAGGTGGTCTGATTAACACAGCTGTAGTTGCTGGGCTGGCCATGGCTGTCAGCCTATCAGCTACTCCATGACAGTGCAGGTAGCCTTGACCCCTTCTGCAAAGTTCTCCACCCAGGTACCTTCGAGCAAGCTGCCCACCTGCCCCTGCATATCCCTTGGGTTCCCAGAGGAAACAGGCCCCACCAGCACCGCAGGGGAAGGGTGTCCCTCAGAGGGCTGAGGAAGCCTTTGACTCGGAGTGTCCCGAGTACCCGCACGTGTCCACCTGTCTCAAACTCCCAGCTCAAGAGTTCTAGCATCCTTTAAAAAAAATGCCACAAAATAAAAATTGTGACAGATTTAAAAAAACAAATTTTCTGAAGAGTTCCCGAGTGCACTAGAACTGTGTTTCCAACATCCAGCAAAGCGGCCAGCAGGCACCGACGGTCTGCGGTGTCTGCGGGGGAGGGGCTTGGAATGGCATCTATTTTTCCATCAAAGTAGGGTGGCTGTTTTCTTAAACAAAAGTCCTCAGGTGACACTGAGCAGCTGCTATCCAACAAATACACTTAATTTAAATGACTCCCAGCACACCCCTGTCACCTAAGAACCTACTGATGGAGCCCCAGCCAGCAAGTCAGCTGTGGAGCGAGGGGCAGGCTAAAGAGAACCCAGCATCTGATGGCCCCCCTTTTTATTTTTTTGGCGGGGCTGGGGATGGAGCCCGAGCTCTCCCGTGTGCCAGGCCGACCCTCCGTGACTGAGCCCCACCCCCAGCCTGTGAGCTCTCCTGGAACCCTGCCTCCTGGGCTTGTCTCAGTCAGGCTGCTTGTGGGTGTGGCGGTCTCAGCACCTGCTGGTGAAGCAGCCCCGGCCTCCGTTCTCCCCTCTCCCCTGCCGCGGGTGGAACCATCCAGGACTCTTTCTGCTCCAGTCAGCAAGCTGCGGGCAGACACAATGTGGGTCCCACTAGGAAGTCGAGGGGTATCTGCTGGGCACACGATGCACAAAGCCCCAGCAAAGGCCTGGGTGCCAACCCTGAGGACCTGGGGGCAAGCAGCCAGGGCAGCACCCAGCCCTGCCCCATGCCAGCACCCAGCCCTGCCCCATGCCAGCACCCAGCCCTGCTCCATGACAGTTAGCGTCCGGAAAGATGCCCAGCAAGGAGCAGGTGCACAGCAAGGCCTGCCCGAGCCAGTGCTTGGGTCTGCCCCTGAAGCAGTGGTACTGCACACTTGCAGCACAGGAAGACCTGCGTGGTGACTG